TCGACATGGCAATTTTCTAGTGACAGTTAGTACCCATGATACAAAGAATACAAGGTATGATATTGCGCAGGTTGGTCACTACGTCACAGGTGATAAACGGCACCATTGGTCGGCAAGCTCTACGCGCCAATTTCAAATTGTCAAACAGATTGTGTCATCTGTGAAATTTGATTGTGTCAAAATGTGAAAATAATTTTTCAAATGTCAAGCTCGATGATTTGACATAACTTTTGGGGTTATGTCCTGATTCTTCCCTATTTTAGGTCTTTTTTTATTAGTGGCAATTGAACAATATGGATATTTTTTTGTATGGCGTATGACGTCACAGGTGGTATGCGCAAACTTAACGAAATTGGAGCCGCTATCGATCATACCTTGTTTTCTTTGTACCATGGTTAGTACCTATTTTCAAAATCGACTTTAGTGTACGGACATTATTATTTAAACAGTTTACTAAAATTTACCCACAATAGTTTAATAAGTAAGTATTCTTTATTTTACGAAGAAAAATACAGCCATATTTGCTGGTAGAACGAATGGACATTCTAGGAATTTTATTTTGTGAGGAAAATTATTTCTTGGCCTCAAGAGCTAATGCTCAAAGATATCCAAATAGGAATCTTCCTGATAAGCGTTCCTTTGAAAAACTGCTTGTCCTATTTCCCATTTCACAGAATTGGTAGTGTAGTTTATAAAAAATCTATTAGGCAGAAACCTGTCGTTGGAAGTGAAGAAATTGAATTTGCCGTAATTGGCTCTTTTATAAAAAATCATATATCTACAAGTTATCGTAAAATAAAACAAAGAACTACTTCTTTGTTTTTCTTGATAGAATAATAAATACATATTAATAAATATTATTTATTAAACTATTGTAGGTCAATTAAATAAAAGTAAACTGGTATAGATTTAAATAAAGTCTATAAGCTAATGTCGATTTTGAAAATAGTTACTAACTGTCAATTGTCTGAAAATTGCCATGGCGATATCACCCATCTTGATTGCCATTTTATTTAAAAATCGCTTTTTACTCAAAATCTGAGATAGATAGGTATAGGAAACCCTAATATAGTTTGAAAGAGCATTTGAATCTGCTTCGAATTATTTAAAAAAATACAGGGTGTTGCATTTGAAATAACAAAGTTTTTATCTAAAATAAATCCTTAAAATAGATCACTCATTTTTGGTACCCCTGTATAAATTTAAGGAAGCAGTAACATTTTTCAGTAAAGTTTATTTCTTTGCCTTTAAACTCAGCTCAAGAATTAATTCTGAAAAGTAATGTATAGGGTATTGATAATCAATTCTCCTGTAGCATGCATATTTAAATATCTTTAAATCTCTCAAAAACCAATGATTTTAAACATATTTAACCCTTATAATAAATGCCTTTTTTTGGGCCCAAGAATCCAAAAATGAAATAAAATACCGGGTGTTCCATAAGAAAAAATATAACTTTGGTATGGATCTTAGTTCTGAGACACCCTTATATTTCAAAATAATTTTAAATTGTGCATATTGACTCTCCATATATACCCATAAAATATTTTGTTTCTACATCTTTCCGTTTTCGTATAATCAACCGAGGCGAATAAGGTGCGCCATCCTGTATATTGATGAATTCTGAGTATAATAGAGCTAATTTAAGCAAAGCATTTACTAATAAAACAGAAAGTATTGGTTTAAAAAAAGTTTGAAGTTGAAAAGAGCGACAGAAAGCGCGAAAGGTGTTAATTTTGAATTTACAATATTGTATCAGAATTGTGTCATGTTCAGACATTTTTGAGACAGGAATATATAAATCGTTATACAAGGGTGGTCCGAATTGTATTCGGGAAACTTCGGCAACATATTGTAGTGCGACCTGGTTACTCAACAATTGTTTGTTTAATATTTTATTAATTATTGCAACAATAACAAAAGCATAGTATACCATCTTTTATAACTAGGTTAGCTAATTCGAATAAATGTAGTCAAAGGGTGAACATGTGTTTGATTTTTGCTGTATTGGAATGAGACATCACATGGCGATCCTGCCTACGGGCTTTAATTTAAATAATTAGTTATCCAAAAGTTTAGTCAAGCTGTATAGTCTAAAGTGAATGTGGAAAAGTGAAAGTAGTGGAACAAGTTAAAATAATTTACCATGGGGAAGACAAACTCTATTCGGAACTAACCGATAACGGTGTGGTCAACTCCGCAATTTTATCATAGAACAGGAGAACTGTTTTACTTAATTTTATCTGCAGGATGTGCTGCCGAAGTTTCCCGAATACAGTTCGGACCACCCTGTATTTTGAATGTTACGTAATTTTATTAAAAATATTCGAAATTCGAAATTGCGGTTTTAAAATTAATAATTCGAATATTTTTAATATCCGAATATTCTGTTGAGAATCAAATGAATACTAAAAATGAAATGCATACTAGAATCGAGTAGGGGAGATCGGGCTGTGATGGTATACTAGATGGCACACTTGCATTTTCTTCATTCCTGTAATGTTAGGAACATTGTAATCAACATCTAATAATTAATTTAGTTTGTTTCTATGCCACGTTTAATGGTTTCGCATAATTGCGATTGTTTTTTTTGAAGACAAACTCAAAAACAATTTTGTCAATTTTTTAGGTCAACTTTAAAACTGGCCTTTTTATTAATGTGACAGATAAATGGTAGAGTGAGGTTCTCTAACTGTGTATTTTTTGAAATTTCTTTATACCGGGTGCGTCTCAAGAGTGGCCTACCTTCTATAACTTTTTTATTTTTTCAGATAAAAAAAACGACATTTGGTATGTTAGTATATGACATAAATTAGGATTGATTGACGTATTAAATTGTTTTTGGTTACTTCCTGTTTTACCGGAAATGCCTACAACTTTTAATTTTTAAACGGCACCCTCGGTATTTTTTTACTTTATTCGATAGAAAATGACATTCTGAATAGAATGCCACATCAGATGTCAACTTTTGACATTCTCGCTTAATAAAAAATAGTATTTTAAATTTCAATCTAGAGTGCCATGGCTATGTTAAAAAAATAATTCTTAATCAAGGAGACTTAGAAAAATAGATTTGATCGTCTAATGTTTTTAGCAGGATTGGAAAAAATCATGATTCTTTAAAAAAAATCAAAAAAATCAGATTTATTTGATTTAAATCAATTTTTTTTTTATTTCAATCAGATTTTTTTTTATTTAAATCAGATTTTTTTTATTTTAATTCAAAACAATATTTAAATCGGATTTGCAAATGACTAGGACTTATTTCCAATTAAAGTCCTATCCTAAATGGCTAAATCTTTATAACTCTGTTCGTTATCGATAACATTAATAATTCTAGGGTGCGTTTGTCATTTTTCCACATCGGTCGCCAATATATTTCGCAAAAAAGTCGCTCGCTTCAGATCAAAAGGATTTTTTTTCAAACGTCTCAAAAGTATTAATTTTTGTCATTTTAACGCCTAGGTATAAAAGTAAAGCACTGTTACGCCTAAGCACAAAAGTACAAAAATATATTATTAAACTGATATAAAGTGTCAAATTCAACGAGTGTACAAATTGTTGCTTGATTACTGTTATATTATTTTCAATATTTGAAATTGATTAAAAATGATTTATAATTTATAATGTTTTAAAAAAATAGTATGCAAGTTCTATTAGGAGTAAAAATGTACTTTTTGTGCTTTCTTGTAACGTCGGAATAGCTTTACGATGGTCCTTCAAAGGAGTATAATTCATCAAAAAAAGTGTAATTTTTACTCCTAATAAAACCATACACTATTGTTCGGAAATACTCTTAAGTCGAGAATGAAATTAGTATTATCTAATGTCAAAGTGTAAAATACTTACTGAGGTAAGAATTTGGAAAAATACAACCATTTCAAAAAAAAAATAAAACAACATATTTCCTGACAACGATTATTATAGATTCTCATAGGGAATGAAGATATAGTCTCTATATCAGAAGAACCTAGTTCTGCACTAGACTGCGAATGATATGTATTCGAACAGCGAATTTTTGTCACTTATACCTCTGCTTATACATAAATTTTAAAATAAATCCCCGCGTTTAGCGGTCTAATGGATTCACACGAAATTACTTCAAAAATCGGTCCAACATTTAAATTGATGAATAGATATTTTTATATAGTTTTATAACATTTACATGCAATTACTTTTCGATTTATTATCTCAATTATCTGTTATATCTTTTATAGAAATATTTTTTATAGTTTTCTAGGACACATTTTTATAACTTTTACAGTTATTTTTTTATTTATAATAAAGTTTTAATAATTTTTTTTTTGATTTAAATCAATGATTAAAATTTAAAAAATCACTTGATCATGCCAACCCTGGTTTTTAGTGTCTTGTCCTGACCGGTTAAAAAATGTCCAAATCGTAATTTTAATCATATCTCATCTTTTTCAAAAGGAACGAGGGTGGCTCATTAGTATATTTGGAAAAATGCATTTTTTATGAATAATTTGATACCACACACATGGTATCTCGAGTCAAATTTTCGTTTAGTTAAAGTTAAAGTTAAAATTTCAAATAAACCATATGCGAAAATGCCAAAAATTCTATTCAGAGTGTTATTTTCTATCGAATAAAGTAAAAAAATACCGAGGGCGCCATTTAAAAATCAAAAGTTGTAGTAATTTTCGGTGAAACAGGAAGTGACCGAAAACAATTGAATACGTCAATGAATCCTAATTAATGTCATATATTAACATACCAAATTTCGTTTCTTTAATTGAAGAAAAAAAAAGTTATAGGGGTGAGGCACTTTTGAGACGACCCGGTATAACCGATTTTAAATTATCACCCTTTGAAAAATGAATGCCATCACAGCGGCTTCTCCCCTATTTCGATTATTTGTATTCGAGTTTTCCCTTTCCTAATGCTGTATCGGTTCCACATCATTAATCTTAAGCATAACTGCATAACCACATCTTTGATTATGCAGTACTATATAATATATATTTTACTCCCCTTAGCCCCCCAACTGCAACGACATCCCCGGCTCCAGAAACAGGAGGCAGGCCGTGGCCCCCGATCAGTCCGAAGGCACCCCGGCCACCATCGAGGTGTACAGCGGCCTCTACGTCAACGAAGCTAACGACCTCGCCAAAGCCAACCAGGACGACGATTCGGTCTTCAGCGTCAAGGTAAGAGATAGAGGAAGATGGGACGAGAACCACTTCTAAAATAAGCCTGGGTAATGTGTGCATAACTCGGAGCGATAAAAACGTTGATGCATTTTCATAATTTTTAGTTGTTGATCTGTGTTATAAGAATTTATAAAGGGTAAAGCTGGAAAAGAAAAATGAGAGGACAACTTTTAAAGATGAGACTAGAAAAAAAATCCTAAAAATCAGGTGTTTTACCTGATTAAAACTGACATGTAAAAGGTTTTATAACTGTAACTTTAGTAACTTTATGGGCCATTAAAGCAATACTGCAAAATCTAGGGATAATAGTCGAGAAGAATCAAGAAAAAAAACTGACCTTATGAGTCTTAAGTAGGGTTGTAGCCAACCGTCCTCTATTCCAGACATTCCTCTTTTTGATCTCATTATCTCTTTTCTGTCACGTATTGAAAAAGTCCTCTTTTTACATACCAAACTCAAAATCTAATAAATATTCGTCTATCGCCAAAATGCTTTAAAAAATTGTTAATCTGTGTCTATCGCTACTCCCACTTGTTTGCACGGAAATAAGAGTGAAGAAATATTTATGTTCAAGAAATATTTGTAGAAGAGATAAACATGTTTAACTATTTTGTTTACTTACTGTAACTGAAAAAAAAAGTTTGTTGAAATTGGTTTGTTTTATTTTACTGTAAGTGTTCATTTTTATATTTTATCCTTTGCAATATTGTAAAGTGCGTCTGCTGGATCTGTGTCTATGAAAGGAATGCGGACAAAAAACATTTAAATAAACAACAATATATTTTATACGTCGACTTGACGAGTACGTCACCGCAAATCGCTCCGCCCACTCATTTTATTGGCTACTTGCAAATTTATCGAATTTTTATTGATGAGACGCGTCGTCTAATTTTTTACGAAAAACATAGAGAGAATATCGTTTCCCCTCTCACGGGTACCCCGTAGCTATAGAACGGACAGACGTACTGTACCTATGTCTTCCATACTGGTATATTCTACATAGAAAATGATTTTGTTTCCAATGCGGTACTCTCGAATGAATCCACTTCTCAACACTGCATTTCACAAATCTTTAAAAATAGGTCACAAAACAAGAGAAGCAAAACGCTGTAAATATGTTTTTATGCGTTATTGGTCAAAACCATTTTAAGTGAAAGTAGATTAAGATCTGGTATCAATAATAAATGTGTTAAATATACTAAATTTGCATCTCGAACTTTCGCATCTATGAGCAGCCTTTTCAAATTCTGAACCACTGTGCGTCGCTCCCATCGCCTACCCACCAAATTTGGTCGGACGACATCAACTTTTGACGTTTTTTACGTCAAAACTAACTGTCACAGAGACACGTGTCGTACACTGTCAAGTTGGCCTTGATCCAATCTATCGACATACCAAATTTCATTTAAATCGGACGATTTTTTTATATGATTCATTGATGATGGGGTTTCGTAGTGCACGAAACGTCGTCAAAATATCATGAAAAGATGAGTTACGACGCTCCAAAGATCCATCTCAACTTTTTTCTAAGCCGTTGGCTGTGTGCTTGCCACTTTTCTTCGTGAGTCGTGTGTCGTTCCGTGTCGTATCACGGCCTTGAATTTTTATTCCCAGCGCGTGTAAAGAAGCTTCACTTTTGGTTTGGCACAAACTGGTTTTAAATTTGGAATATTTTAACGGTATCTATAACAATTTCTGCTTTTATCATTTTACCATAATATGCACTTCTTTTCTGTAGTAATTATTTCAGGTCTGGTGATATAAAATGCCTGTTTGATGAAGATGAAGACGACATTCCGCGTTCTCTGATTACTCTGAGGCATTCCACGCTACCCGCGGGCTCCTCTTTGTTTATTACTTGCACTATGAGAGAAAAGTGGTTGTTTTAAAATCCATTACCGAGTATGCAATTGAATATTAAGGCTCACAAAGGCACTTCTAAAGAAAATGATGCAGTTTTATTTTCCTTTGGTTCGTAGATACTAAGTTGGCACGTCATTGAAGTTGTCTTATACCTTCAGGCTGATTTTAAAAATTATTATTATTGTATTGACTGTAAAAGAAAAATTTATGAATATTTCTTTTATGTATTTTAGCAATAACTACACACATTTTTGCGGTTAAAGTTTTTTTTCAATGGGTGATTCTTTTTGATTTTTTTTATTGAATATTTAATTTATAACTATAATATATATGGAATAAGGTGTTTCAAAACTATAGATTTGTCTACAGTGTGTTTCAAAAACATGTACCATCTCTCGTGGGGAGATTCCTCACGTAAAAATTAGATTTATTTTTTATATCAACATAGGTCCAATTATTCTACTTTGTTTTGTAGTTATACAGGGTGTTAAATCTAATTAAAATTTATAACTCTGACATTCAATGCTACTTACAGCAAATTCAAGAAGAAAAATATTGGAATTTAAGATAATCACAGAAATCCTATTTAAAAGTTTTAACATCCTATATGGGAACTTTTTTTATATTTTTTTGTGACGAATCAATGAATACTGATTTAACACTTTGGCCATTTAATGACATTACACAGGTTTGACATTAGAAACATTTAGTGGTTGCTGTTAGCCCTGAATTAAGGCAAATTAATAAAACTGTGTTCATCTCATCTCTCAAATCGACAATATATAAAGAGACAAGAAAGAGAGAAAAAAATCGCTTGCGCACAATTTCTTTTAGAAAAATATTGCAGTGATAACCCAAATGCACGTCCCTCTGTCGACACTTTTTTAGTATTAAAATGTGTCGCACTTATTTTAACTTTTACCCCCATAAAATTTTATTCAAATCGCTAAAAGCACTTGGAAGAAAATTATAATAAATCGAAAAATAATAAATACTATCGTAACTACGGGGAGTTACTGTATCCTGTAGCTACGAATCAACGTAGAATCAGACCTAGTATGTTGATATAGTAAATAAATCTTATTTTTCTACGAGGAATCTCCCGACGAGAGGTGGCACATGCTTTTTGCAACACCCTGTATACTCTTAAAAAAATAAATAAGATATGGGCAAAACAAAATTAAATAATTTTAGACCATATCCATATACTGTTGTATTACTCAATGATGCAGCATTAGTCATTCGTATTTAATTTATTCCATACACACTACTTGGCGTATTTTAATAATGAACCCGATAATGTGTTCCTGCGGATATACTTGTCGAAAGACACTTTGAAAAATGCAACGTCCCCATTGTATTCATGAATGCGTACTCGAGGACCGCCTATTACTATGCAGTACGACAACTCTACAACTTCCTTCGAGTGTTATTTTGAGTAGTAAGTCACTCTCTTTTCGAAGAAATTATTTTAATTCTCATTCCATGCAACCTTAATGATATAGAGGTTGAGTTAAATTCTTTTGCTTTTTTTTATGACCAGTTGACATTGAATGGATAAGTTTATAATAAACTTAAAGAATTTAAAATTGATGCGTACGTGACATTTCAAACTACTCATATTCTCGAAAAAATTATGGATGAAAAATAAATGCGAAATTACAAACAATAAAACATTTATGTGCATTTTTTACAACATAAACGATTAATTATATGTCTACAAAAAACATTTTTTATTTACTAACACATAAATGTATTGTTAACATTTCTGACATTATGAAATTTTGAAAGTGTTGCCAGTGGCGACTCGTGACTTCCAAAGAAGGGTTGGCACAGCCTACACAAGAAACAAAAACTTATCTACTATTTTTAGTACATTCGTTTTACAAGTCTATTCGTTTTTATGTTAGAGATGATGTTATCATTTGATCATTTAAAGTGTAACATAAAATATACCTAATAATACACTTAATTACAATAATACTACTCTATATATACAACTCTATAACACTGATGGATGGAACATCAATAGATGGAATAGGTTTTGAACAAGAATACAAGTATCTGGGAATTGAACAAGCATTTAACATCAAAGAAACATTAAACAGAGAACGGGTTAAAGAAGAATTTTTCCGCAGATTAAATATTGTACTGAGAACCTGTCTGAAAGCAAAAAATTGTTTCGATGCAATCAATACCTGAGCAGCATCTGCACTCACGTTTACATTTGGTATTCTGCCGTGGTCTACTACTGAGCTAAAACATCTGGATCAAAAAGTCAGAACAACACGCACTAAATACAGGATGCACCATCCAAAATCTGCCTTGGAAAGGCTATACTTACCAAGAAGCGTTGGAGGAAGATCTCTTATAAATCTTGAACTTGCACACCTGCAGCAGAAAGAAAGCTTCATCAATATTATTTGTATTTCATCAATATATTAAGGTATTTTTTTACTTTTTTAAAATGAGTGGAAGGGGTTGAAATAAACTACCCCTATCATTCTTGTTAACGAAATTTAAAGAAAAATCTTATCAAATACATGCAAAAAAATTAATTTGGATAGTTTAGTTTGTTTAGAAACTTTTTTACCACTTGTGTTTTTTTGATAAAACTCACCGATTGGAAATTAAAAAATAAAATGTAAAGCATTACATGTCAGGACAAAAAACATTTTTAGATTAAGAATCTAGTGATAATAACGATATAATAATAATCATCTAGATAATAACGTATTGCAGTAGAGTAATGTCTAATAAAATAATATTAGGAACATCCTAAAAAGTAACAGCGGCCGACTAGATTTTTTCCTAAAAAAATTACAGCAGCCCACTAGATTCTTTATCAGAAAATGTTTTTTGTCCCGACATGTAATGCTTTACATTTTATTTTTTAATATCAAATCGGTGAGTTTTATCAAAAAAATACCAGAGATAAAAAAGTTTCTAAACAAACTAAACTATCCAAATTAATTTTTTTGCATGTGATTGATAAGATGTTTCTTTAAATTTTGTTAACAAGAATGATAGGGGTAGTTTATTTCAACCCCTTCCGCTCATTTTAAAAAAGTAAAAAAATTACCAGAAAGTGTGTTTTCATAACAGTAATGCTTCCATAAAATTTTATTAGTCTATCTCTTTTCGTTTTCAAGATAAAAAATAAAAACATTATTTTTCCGCCATCTTTGTACCGCAGTATCTCCCTAATGGTTGACTTTTGACCCAACGTTTATGAAGCAAACTACCCTTTATTTTGAACAAGGAATCACCCCCTGAAGTTTTTCGCATTTGTTTTGAAACACCCTGTATATGAGGGCGAGGCTATACCATAATTAGAAATGGTTGAATAAACTGAAAATGATGATGATGAATATAAAAAGTTAGTTAGGTCTTAAAGATTTTGAAAGTTAGCACTTCAAAAAAAAATTTGAAGTGCTAACTTTGCGTAACTTTACGTCTTTTTTACATTTTTACTATTTTTTTTCTTTGTACCGCAGTATCTCCCTAATGGTTGACTTTTGACCCAACGTTTATGAAGCAAACTACCCTTTATTTTGAACAAGGAATCACCCCCTGAAGTTTTTCGCATTTGTTTTGAAACACCCTGTATATGAGGGCGAGGCTATACCATAATTAGAAATGGTTGAATAAACTGAAAATGATGATGATGAATATAAAAAGTTAGTTAGGTCTTAAAGATTTTGAAAGTTAGCACTTCAAAAAAAAATTTGAAGTGCTAACTTTGCGTAACTTTACGTCTTTTTTACATTTTTACTATTTTTTTTCACTTTCAAAATAAAATATTGTACCTAACTACTTTTCACTGGTATGATTGTAAATAAAATAGTATACAAACATCGAAAAAAAAAACGGATATATTTTTACATTATAATGATGAATCTAGTTTTAACACTATATAACACTATATCTTTTTTCGTATGGTCATTCTCCTCTTCCGATAGAATACAGTTACTCAAACTTATCTCAGGTATCGAAAATGAACTAATCTAATTTATATCCTGCTATAAATTTGTATCAAAAAAGTACCGCATTCAAAAGTATAACAGTGAACAGAAATCGATCGTATCGAGAAACGCTGATTCATTTTAAGATGAACTGAAATATGATGTAATTAAAAGATGAAAAAAGATCAATGTCCACAAAAAGTCCATAACTGTATCTGTATATCGCTGGACTGGAAAAATATTTCATTTGGCATGATATTTTTTACTTTATTTTTATTAACTATTTATATCTATATTCTTCAGTCTTTCTTTATTTTGTCTAGTTTGGATAAATCCACTTTTCAACAATGTAATCATCAGCAGCTCTTGACTTTAAAAATATATTTAGTTCGGAAAAATTTTAATAAAATATAAAATTTTTATAAAAAAATAGTATATTTATGAATATATAGGTTGTTGACAGTCATTGGGGAAGAAATACATTTTAATTTTATAACACGCAAAATATCCGCAAAATAGTTGAGAAAAATAAAATAACTGATTTTGATTCACCTTAGATTTAGAAGTAACAAAGTTTATAGATATCACAGATAAGTCTGTTATGTGATACTATACCTATCACAGATAACATATAACATCTGTGATAGGTATATAGTATTTCAAAAACCAGTTGGTCTGTTTTAAAGCTCTTAATTTCTGTACTGTTTTTGTCTGCACCATTGTCGGCATCGTCTGGACTTTAAATTAACAATAAAAAGTCTGGACAAACAACTGAGTCGCATACCAATCCAAGTGACTTTGGAAATACTTTAACAGGTAATATATATTATTGGGCCACCCTATAATAGGATGCTTCTTTTCAGTTTATGCAACCAACAATACTATTATATTTAAATTATCTGTAATTTAAATTTTAGCGCGCCATTTTTAGTCTCAGCCGATTATTTAATTACAGATTTGTAACCATATTCTTATGAAGCCGCTCACACATGCAATTAAATAGTCGGCTGATCGGCTTCATAAGAATGTTCTCACTTTTGCAACTAAGTAGTCCAACCGACCAAAAAGTTACATGTCGGCGCGAGGACTTTCTTTTCTATGTTTGAAATCAGTATAGTCATGATAATATATATTTTTTGTGTTTTTACAGAATCCTGAAGATGCTATTTGCATATCCCAAAGAAGCTTTGCAATTGGAATATGCGTAGCTGGTCTGATTTTAATGTTGTGCGTCCTAGCAGCAATTTTGTGTCTTTTGGCGAGAAGAAGAAAGAAGTCAATATCAAATCCCGGAAGTTCTATTTACAGTGGACCGTATACCAACACCGCTTACAGCCACAGTAGTTGAAAACTTTCAGCAAAAGAAAATTTTATTAAACTGATTCATCTGTTCTTTGTTCTTTATACTTCAGTTTATCTTGCCAATAAACAAAGAAAATATTTATGTCTTCGTGTAAATAAATGGCAATGTATTTGGACCATTTTTCAGCCATCTATTTAAAAATGAAAAATTATTTTAAATTCTATTGATTGATGAACCACCTATATTTTTATTTAAGCGAGGTCTACAAAAGGACAAAAACTATAAAACCCCCATGTGCCATTTCAGGCTTCTTCAGTGCTCATATTCCTAGATTTAAATGTAGTTAACTAGATTTGTCTGCAGTACTTCTATTAAATCTCTGATAATTTATAAAATTAAATTGATCTAGTTTCACTCTCACACTGCCTTATAGTTAGGCAAATCTTTATAATGTCAGAGACAACTGCTTTAGTAATTGTCTCTGATAATGTATTGCAGATCTCTTAAAAATTCTTAGCATATCATTTAGCAGTAATAACAATGGGGAAGGTGATGGGATATTTATAAAGAATATGTAACTTTAATTCATATATCTGTGATACTAAGGCAGAATCCAATATGTCAAATGTAAAATAATGTTGACATATCGGGTTCTGTCTTACATCACAGATATACAACACAAAAATACTTAACAACTTCTTCCTAAAACTAACGGTAGTTTCAGTGAAGATACAGAAAGTATTTTTGTGTTGTTATTCATTAAATTAATTACAAATGCATAAAATATACACGTATTTTGTTGGTATATTTCTAAAAATATTTTTTAAAACAGCTAAGAATATTGAACTTGTGCATTTGTGATTTTGAATCACAGTAACATTAAAACGAATCAATGTAAATATTTAGTTAATGATACTCTGGTTCTTAATCAATAAAAAAAGAAAAATGAGATATGTTAACAGTGCTTTAATTAAATTAATTATAACAATAAATTTCTATCATGAGTAAATTTTATTTGGTTTATTAAAGTTTCCCTTCCTTTTTGAAATACTCCATTTCAATTCTTTTAACAAGATTTATTAAGGATGGATATCTACGCACAATTTCGACAAGATCATTCCTTGGCAAAGGTGTGGTAATTATTGTGAATAAATGCCCAAAAACTAAAGCATCCAGTTCTGTAGGTCTGGAATAAAAATATGTATTTAATTTAGAAAAAAAAATGTCAAAATTAACTTACACTTCGCCAAAAAAGTAATGTTTATTATCAAGACGAACGCTTAAAGCCTCACAACAATTTTCGACTTCCTGATAAACCTCTTCAATAGTTTTACTATACCAATTTAATACTTTTAACTTTTTGATGATTTGACTTCTTTTTTCTCTGTTTTGTATGTGGTTCAAAGGCCAGGGATAAACAGAACCGTTTCTTACACTTGTTACTTCATTATATGTTTCTTTATCAACCCAACATATATAAAGCTAAAGAAATTACTAACATTTTTAAACCTCATAGAAGAAAATTTAAATAAAAGTTTTACCTCTGCAATCTCTATTACATTTCTAATTAGAGTCATGTAAGCACGCATATCAGATTTTTGTTCATTGTCAAGTTTATCTGTTAGCGAGATACCCTTTCCATTAACAAACTGAACAATTCCTTCCAATTCGGCTGTAACAAATCGTCCTGCTTTTATGAAAGGTACTCTACCTGTTGGAGACATTGCCTCGGCATTTGGACGGGGTTCAACTTGATAATCTAAATTACACATTTTTAAAAATGCCTGAACAGCAAGGCAATTGGCATTGTCAGGTAAAAGAATTTGTTCAACTTCGTAAGGCTGATATAATTTCACATCCTTTGGCCAAGGTTCTTGAGCTGTTAAAACAAAAGTCAGAATTTTATTTAAAGATTTGCTTAAATATTACCTCCCAATTCAACGGAGAGCCTGTCTATTAATGGGGTTGGCATTATATTCCTACAAAATAATAATTTTCTTATAATTAAAAATTTCCAAAAAAAATTAAGTAATATAACCTCAATATTTCTTCCTCTTTCCAAATGATAGTGGCATTTGGTGGCATTACCTCACCCAAATTTGCCAAATATTCAGTAGAATTGAGTTTGGTACATTTGACCTACGGATATGATTGAAAAAAATTGTTTAAGAACCAAAAACAATTTTGTTACTGTATTTGTTACCTATCAAATTATGATCAAATTAATATAGTGAAAGTATGACTATATTAAAAACATATTTATCACAGAAATAAAATGTTATTTTTTTTGTTATTTTATCATGATAATCATATATTATATATGATTCTGATTTTATTTATCTATGATGTTCAAGAGAGGCAACCACTGAAAAATAAAAATAACAATTTTGATTTCTGACAAGTGACAAGTGACACATATTTGACAATTTTGTTCTCTTTTTTCTTTCACATCAAAAATGTCGAAGAGAGGTATGAGTTTTAATTATAAATTGCTAAATTCTTTAATTATTTTGATAATCTTTTTGTCAAATACTCTGTTCTTGTAGTTTATGTGTGAAGAAATATCATGTGATTATTTTCTTTTGGATATTTTTGCCTTGGTAGGAACTTTAACTAATGCTATTATTTGTTTTTATTTTCAGGACGTGGTGGTTCCGCGGGAGCGAAATTTAGAATTTCGCTGGGTTTACCAGTTGGTGCAGTAATTAACTGCGCAGATAACACTGGTAAGTTTTAGAAAATTTAGCTTTTAAAATTTAAATTTTTCAATAATTAATTTGTTTTAGGCGCCAAAAATTTGTATGTTATTGCAGTACAAGGTATCGGAGGCCGATTGAATCGGTTACCGGCTGCTGGTTCAGGTGACATGATTGTCGCTACAGTTAAAAAGGGCAAGCCAGAACTTAGAAAAAAGGTAATGCCTGCCGTAGTTATCAGGCAGAGGAAACCGTTCCGCAGGAAGGATGGAGTGTTTATATACTTTGAAGACAATGCTGGCGTTATAGTAAACAACAAGGGTGAAATGAAAGGCTCCGCTATCACTGGACCAGTAGCAAAAGAATGTGCAGACCTTTGGCCCAGGATAGCTTCAAACGCAAGCAGCATTGCTTAAAGTTATATATTTAAAATATGAAATTAAAAATAAGTATAATAAACAGTTTTTTTATTTTGAAATTGTATCCTTTGTACAGGTTTGGTATTACTTAGCTATACTTTTTGTGGCTTTGGACATAAAGTTATGCATTTAATTTGTTCTGTCAAGCTGGTAAATCACTGAAGTCTAGAAGTTCTAGAACTCTAGTTCCCAGTCTAGCAAAGTTACTTTTTATAATTTTAGACTGGTGTTACAAAAACAATATAGTCTGTCCAACAACTTTGAATATTTTGAAAAATGAGATCTTAGAAATTTCAGAAATTACACTTTGTCTCTTGAGTTAAAATGACAGACAGAGCTGTCAGAGATTCTCAGGTTGGACAGACTACAATTTTGCAGGTGACTAATTGAATATTGTAAGTAAAACACATTCAGTCAACGAATCTTCATTAAAGATATATTTAAATTTAATATATAAATATTTTCATCTCTTCAAAAAGGTCCTATGGGTATTTCACCACTAAGATTAAAAATAAAAAAAAATAATTCAATTTAAAATATTTTTATGACAATATGCAAAACACTCAGTATTCATATGTACGCAGTGACAATAAATAATATCTACAATTTAGCTTAAAGTATGGTATATTTTATATCTATAAACTATTCATTAAAATTATCATCTTCGATAAGATTGTTGTTCACAAATAAGTCATAAATGACTTCTTTATTTTCTGGACTAATCTTGGACTTAATTTTTGCCTCTGCTTCTCCAATTTGAAATATCATTTCTGTACCTTTTTCTATAAAATCTATTTCTGGTTCAATTATCTCTCCATTCATCCATATCTCCATAACTGGCTTATCTGAAATAAATATTAAATTATTAACAGTTATTTTTAATATACCTACTTAAGTTTTCGTTTAATTTTCATGCGGAGCTTAGTCAACTTCTAAATGTAAAACAGACAACCTACAGGGGCCGATACACGAATTAATTTTAGGGAGGGGGGGTCAAATAAAAAAAAGTAAAAGAATATGCTTTTTACAGCGTTATTTTTAACCCAAAAGGCCAATATTTAACCCAATTTACATATTACAGGGGGGGGGCTTCAAGGACCCCCTCTGTATCCGCCACTGACCACTGCATTAAAAATTCAAACAATACAATTTATATAAAGTTATTATACATTTGGGTAGTATAGGTACATTTAAAACTATATCTAAAATATAAAATATTTATAGAGTATAATATGTTACTTAGAAATAGAGGAATATATCTGAAAATCCTTTACAGGAAGTTTATTAAAAAAAAGTTTTAGATGAATGAGAAATTTAGGTGTATTTAGAGTTTTTACAATTCTTAAAAAAGTAATTATAATTAGACCAAATTAGTATACTCCTGACAAAATAATTTGCTAACAATTACATTATAATATACACTACGTTTCCGAATTCTCTTGACAAGAGGAAAAACTGTATTATTGACATTTTGAGAAAAACGCATTCTTCATAATAATTTTGCTTGTTCTAAAATGGTTAATTCCGTTTATACATTTTCAAATTGTTTAAACGGGGTTAACCATTTTAGAAGAAGCAAACATTTTTATGAAGAATGTATTTTTATCAAAATCAGAACAATAAAAAAGTTTTTCCTCTTGTAAAGACAATCCGGGGAGCATTTAAGCAAAATGTACCATTATTTAGTCCATAATGTGATTTTCCCTGCTCTCATTGGTCGAGAATTTATTTTATTCTAAAACTACTTGAACAAAAAAACTTAGAGGTATATTCTAAAAAACCATTCTAAACTTATCTCTCCACTAATGGATTTATTAAAAACTAAGTGTTGGCCTTATTTTTCGCTTCAGAAATTGTATTGGGTGCAGTTGACATATATCTCCCAACACTGCAGGTTCCATATTTGATACAAAATAGTTGGTATATAGGTAGTGTTTTACTCTCGAAAGGGGAATTGGATTCGACGCGTTTTAAATGAAGGGGATTAAATGTCTCACTGTTGGGCATTCTCCCCTACATTTTGCCACGTTAGCGTGAGGCATTCCAAACGCAGGTACATGTTGCTAAACTTTACTAAAACGTGGTGTATTATGCCTGAGATCGAATGGCATTAACCTTTTCAATTGCCCTGAGAATAATAAAAAAGAATTGACGGATTGATATGACAACTTCGCCAAAAACACGCCGCCGTTATATGCTTCTCTCAAGTAGTTTTCATTAGACAGACGTTGTTTTTGTGTGTTTGAATAAACTTTAGCACTTTAATTGATATCTACCATGACATCTGAAGATTTGACGTATATTTTACTGGATCAATTTCGATACAGTGTAAAAGAAGTTTTGGTTTAAGGTAGCATTATTTATTGTAGTAAAAGAAGTGTAAAGTGTAAAAGAAGTTTTGGTTTAAGGTAGCATTATTTATGCTGAACTAAAAACAGCAGAAGATTGCGACGCATGGATTTCAGAATTTTCGCGACTAAATTCAGTTGCCTGGATTGTACGGCGAACTTTTAATTTGTTTTTTCCGTATTGGATAGGCTGTATGGAGGTGGTGGAAAAATCACGCAGTTTCCAAAGAAGATCGACCATTATTATACAGGGTGGCGCACCTCATTCGCCTCAGTTGATTAAACGGAAAGATGTAGAAACAAATTTTTTTATTGGTATATGTAGAGAAACAATGTGCATAAATTAAAATTATTTTGAAATGTACAGCATGTGTTAGAACTAAGCTCCATACCAAAGTTATATTTTATCTTATGGAACACACACCCGGTATTTTATTTGATTTTTGGATTCTTGGGCATAAAATAAGGCATTTATTATAAGGGTTTAATATGTTTAGATGCTTTGGTTTTTGAGATATTTAAAGACATTTAAATATGCATGCTCTAATAAAAAAGTTTGTCAACACCCTGTACATTACTTTTCAGAGTTTATTCTTGTGGTGACTTTGAAGCCAGAGAAATTATCTTTACAATTTTTGATACCCCTGTATACATTTAAGGAAGCAATCACATTTTTTAGTAAGGTTTATTTCTCTGGCTTTGGCTCAGGGTGTTTTGGTTTGGTTTGGTTTGGTGACAAACTTTTTTATTATAGCATGCATATTTAAATATCTTTAAATATCTCAAAAACCAAAGCATTTAAACATATTAAACCCTTATAATAAATGTCTTATTTTATGTTCAAGAATCCAAAAATGAAATAAAATACCTGGTGTTCCATAAGAAAAAATATAACTTTGGTATGGATCTTAGTTCTGACACACCTTGTACATTTCAAAATAATTTTAAATTATGTACATTGCCTTCCCACATATACCTGTCTGTGTTACATAGACGCCACGACACACGGAAATCAAACAAACAATTTTTCAGAAGTGTCAGATTAATATTTTTATAAAATAGGCGTTTTCTTAACATTTCACGCTGGTTCTAAAAAGACGATCAAATATTAAATAGGATAATTCTGTGGTCATTCCTAAAAATCAAAGATTTTAATAATGGCGTTTATAACATGTTAGTGTAATCTGCATTGTCCTTAAAACATTTGCATGATGCTGGAAAGAATATGGCAGAACGTACCACGTTTTAGTCACGGTTGGCAAAACGCACCAGCGTTTAGTCTCATTCAATGAGAGTAGGGAAAATCACATTATGGTACATTTTGCTTAAATGCATCCAGGGATATACTGTAGGGTTGTACCGTATCAGCGAGAAAAAACGGCGTCATCGTTGGCTATGAAATGAAGATCACTGTCATTTTATACATCGATCGTCATTTCCCAGCCAACTGGACGCGTTTTTTTTTCGATCATACGGTACATTTTATCTCCAGCAACTGTGTGCTGAAAGTCTTCCAAATATTTAAAAAAAATTATATAAATATTAAAAATATTTTTAGCTCCAAAATATTTAAAAATATTTTATATAAATATTAAAAATATTTTTCGCTCCAACAAATATCACTTGTATTCCAATGCATTGACAGCTTATTGGCAGAGAATAAACTGGCATTGACTTGGTATGTGGTATGGGTTTTGAAAGTGAACGTTATTACCAAACACAATTCTGTAGCGCTTTCCATTTTCCACGATGCTCCACGCTTTAACCGCTTGATTCTGTTTCTCCACAAACTTCTCCAAAGGTTTTCCATCGACATATAGCGAATATGAAAAACAAAAGTACGGGATTGGATCCACTCGTAATTCACATTTGGCTTCCTGCTTTCCCAAGGTGAATTTTACATCGCCCACCAACCTAAACATCCAATCTTTTCGGTATATTTCCTACAAATACATATAATTTCATTATTCTTAAGTCTGCAGAGAAATATGCATCTATAGACAAAATACTCAAATCTGGAAAAAAACTTGCAAATAAAAAATGTATGTTTTAAAATACCCCTTCCCAGCCCCTGAAACAAATAAAATGCTTGAAAACTATTACCTACTCTTATTTTATGCTATTACCACAATCGAAATTATAATGTTTCGTACTTTTTAGAATACATTCAATGGAAGTCTTAAAAAACGGCGTCCAGTTGGCTTAGAAATTCCAATCGATTATATGTGTCTCATATAACATAACTTTATATATAAATTGCCAGTGATCTTTATTTCCAAGCTATTTGTCTGACGCCGTTTTGAACGAAAAAAAAACAGCGTCAGCGATAGCTATGAAATGAAGATCGCTGTCATTTTATATGTAAAATTATATGGGGAATGTCATCAATCGTCATTTCTAAGCCAATTGGACGCGTTTTTTTTTCTTGATAATGCGGTATATATTAGAGTAAGAGCGATTTACCCTAGGAGGGATCCTAGGATTGAGTCCAGGGGGGGCCTAGGGCTTTTGTTTTTTAAAAAATGAAGAATAATTAAAAAATAAACACATTTTTTGAATAAAACATTTACATGAATTTGTCTATTAATAAATTTCATTACTTTGCATCGTTTGTTAGCTTAACCTAACCCTCGGGCCCCCTGTAGTTGCGCCAATGAGTATCTTAAACAAACCATTTTAATAATTAAAATTTTATACAGGGAGACTAATTTGAAAATTATAGCAATCGAGAATATGACGAAAGAATATCTCTTTTCAAAAAATACTGGAGGGAGAACCAAAATGAGGTACTATTTTTTACACATGAACCCATTTTGTCTCAAAACCCCATACTCATTTTTTCTTCCCATATAGCAAAATCTAAAATCGTACGATACGTTTTTGGGATAACAGTGTTTTCAGGAGACATTCAACACTCCAAAATGTATTTGAGATCTTTTTGATAGAATTTTTTGTCTATGAAGTCTTCAAAGTCATCCCGATTCCTGCTTTTTAAATTATCACCCTGTATATATATATTAATATTCTTTCTACAGAGTTTGAATCTATTCACTGAATATTTCAATTCTCTATAAATTTATTATAACATCATTAATAATCTTATAAAAACAATTTCAAAAAAAAACTCACTTTTCCATTTAGTCTCAGTACTCTCTTTCCAGTAGTAGTGCCGTGTTCAAATTCAACAGTGTGCACACCATCTAACAAAGGTACGCTCCAATAAGCGACTAGATCAGAGCGGCTCTGAAAATTTTTTATGTCCTCTTTATTAGCCATAGTAAGTAGTTTAAAGACAATTGGTTAATTAATTATTATCAGCCACTGCAATGAATTAGGTACATACATAGCTACTACTGCGATGGAGAAATAAAGTGTACAATTTTTTTCAAGCCTATTATATGTTTCTACTATTCTAGCTATGTATTATAAATCGATTGACCTTATTGCATATTTAATGGATAAACAAAGCTTTTTCCTTTAATCTGAAACACATTTTGCTGATTTTATACGAACTGTTTGTATTTTGAAAGCCGCTATGGAAACGTCAATAGTCCAATTTACTAATAACATGCTTCAGATTCTAAATATACAGGGTGTAGGTAAATAAATAAGTAATTTTTTTGAAAAAATCGAGAAATTTGATTTCGATATCAATATGACTTCGGCGTTTAGGGGGCGGGAAATACATTTTCGTCCACACCTGTATAAAACTACTGAGTGAAGAAATATACATTTCCGCCATCGTTTACGTAAAAGAGGCTTCTTGATAAAACTCGCTACGGATAACTGTTCTCTAGATATTTGGAATGTAAATATGTATCAATACATGTCATCATTGACAAAAAATACACATATTATGATGACTAAATACCGTACTTATGATCGAATAAAAACGGCGTCAGCGATGGCTATGAAATACGATCGATGACATTTTCCATATAATTTTACATATAAAATGACAGCGATCGTCATTTCATAGCCATCGCTGACGCCAATTTTATTCGATCATACGGTAGTTATTTAACTGAAACGATAAATTTGGGAACCTTTTACTTCTATTTAATTCATCTACTAATTAATCATAATTTTTTTTGCAAGAGAAATTATGATGAAACAGTTTCTGTTGAACCTTGGCACCAAGACATTTCATATTTGTGGCTTCGGTCTAAAGCCGGGTCCAGACCAAGCAGACGAAACAGTGACAAGACAGAAACATTCATGTTTTACGACAAAGTAGCGACAAATCCAATACATTTCTGCGACATTTTTGTAGACAAATCAGCGATAATATAGAGCGCATTTATTATTATGGGAGGGTAAAACAAGGATGAAGGAAAATTGTTACAAGAAAGCTGGTGCATTAGAGGAGATTTGTTGAGCATTAAATATAAAGTCGGTTGATGATGTGAAGAAGAAAATAAGAAATATTAATAGCTATATAGTATACAAGAGAAATAAAAACAAAAACATTATTTGGGGTTTCTTTTTGCAACATGGGATGGCGAGTCAAAGACAACACTACTGGCTGCTAGAAATATATATTTCTCTTCTTTCTGGTAGAAATGACACATGATTAATATAATTTATTCGCATATACTGAACTTTGTTGTACTTTTGTCCTCGCGGTACACGACACTTTGTCTCAAATTTGTCTTGTGTGAATTTCTCATTTTTGTCGCAGATTTGTCTTGTTTTTGTCTCAAAATCGTGTTCACCTTTTGTCTGGAACCAATATAAGAACTATCTTGTTAAAACGTTCAATTTTTGTCAATGATGACATACATTGATTACTTCGAATCTAATTATATCCATAACCGTTACTCCTAATGATTTTTAAAAAAATAATTTTTGAAATGTATAATTTTTTATTCAGTAGGATTTATACAGGAACGGACGAAAGTTATTATTCTTCAAATAAGTTAAAATATTATACCGTATGATCGAATAAAAACGGCGTCAGCGATGGCTATGAAATGAAGATCGCTGTCATTTTATATGTAAAATTATATGGGAAATGTCATCGATCGTCATTTCCAAGCCAACTGGACGCCGTTTTTTTTTCGATCATACGGTATATATAGGGACTTTAAAAATATATGTAGGGCGAGTATGGTATATATCCAAGTAGGAGTGATATTGACATCGAAATCAAATTTTCCATATCAAAAAACTTCCAGGCACCAAATTTCATTCAAATATCGATGTTAGTTCAGAAATTATTTGAAAAAAATCGTAATAAAAATTAAACCTCTACACCCTGTATCTCCGAAACGAAGCATTTTAGAACATGCATTTGTACGAACTGTTTTACTTATTTTTACCTGTAGAATATGCTGCCGAAGTTTCGTGATTGCAATTCGAACCACCCAATATAAATTTAATCTACTCAATAATTTTATTCTTATCGAATGAGCTTGGCATTTAATTTAATATATTCTCAACCCGAGTTCTCAACTATCAGTTTTTAAAAATATGTATTATTTGAAACTTAAACTAAATAATTAAATTTTTTAAATGAAATATTCCGTGTGAAGAAGACAAATTAGAAGTTTAATCGTGGAGCAGGCTTAGAAAACAAATGAATATCTAAACGTCATTCCAACTTGATGAATTTTTATTATGCAACTTTTACATCGAACACTAATGACTTAATTGGCAACAATATAAGAAAATTTAGTGAAAAATTTTATAGAAAGCGAAATGACAACTAATTTTCGATCGATTGAGGATATTCCCCCACCGTATCGTTGCATTTTCCAACAATATCCGTGTTTTAATGCTGTCCAGACTCAGGTGTTCGACGATGCTCTTAATACAGGTATGACCGTTATTGCGTTACTAAACCATGATTAAACCTACAATACATAACTTGTTATTATTTACTAATTAATACCTACTGACTTAAATATACCAGGTTTTTGATAATTTAATTAAAAAATTTTTTTTTTGAATTCAAAAAAATTATGGAGTTGTTTTTACTTAAATTTCTCTTATGCCCTCTATCTTATATTATAAATTGTTACAAATATTTTAGATAAATCTTTAGTGGTAGCTGCTCCAACTGGTTCAGGAAAAACGGTTATTTTTGAGCTAGCTATAGTTCGGTTGCTCATGTTAAACTCAACGGAAAATATAAAGGCAATTTACAGTAAGTTTGTTTTTATATTTTATTCACAGATATATGAATTTTTATTTATGAATACTATAGTCTGTCAAGCAAAAAAATATGAATGGTAACGGGAAAACCGGCGATATCCATTTTATAGGAATTTTTAAGTAATCAACTCTTGAGAATACCAAATCCTAATAAACACATGCTAAATTATAATTGAATATACCAAAGGATATCCAAATAATAATGCATATAGTATAATTTTTTTGTTTAACATGGTATTTGATAACATTCAATCAGTTTTTCTGTACAAATTTACATTCATATATTATTTTGGTGGACAACTATCCCAAAATGGCAGAAAAAAATTCAATCTATGTTTAAATCTTGCTATATCCTTTGGTTTAAATTGAAATATTAGTCAATAAATAATGCTACTTTCCTGTTACCGGACAGATTATAGCTATAAATTCAAAAAATTATAATACTTACTGCAGAAAACAATAATTTATGGTAACAAAAAATAAATACAGGTGGAAAATTAAATTAGGTAAATATTTTTTTTTAAATAAGAAAAAATTGAAAGATCTAAAAATGTGTACCGAATGTTTAAATGTAGTATAAAAAGTGTTTATGTACAATACGTAAAATAATTTAGTAAACTCTAAACAAAAATATGGAAGGTTGACAAATAAAAGGAATAATTCCATTACTATACTTAATTATAATACATATTTAATTATCCTAGTATCTCCAATAAAAGCTTTATGCCAAGAAAAACTAAACGATTGGCATAAGAAATTCTCCGAATTTGATATTCGATGCATGTCTCTGACTAGTGACACTGATGAATTTGATCCAAGATGTTTGTTGAATTATCAAATAATTTTGGCCACCCCAGAAAAATGGGACGTCATTACGAGACGATGGAGAGACCATCTAAATTTTGTCAGGGCTATCAATTTGTTCATGATTGATGAAGTGCATCTACTAAATGCTGATAACAGAGGATCTACTTTGGAAGTCATAGTGAGTTTATATTTATTATCACACTATATTATCATACTATAAAAAATATACCTAATCGTAATATATTCCCGTTACTGAAAAAGCTTATTATGTATAGTAGGGTAGGCCGAAAGCAATATTTTTCGAAATCTAACCTGGCATCTGGCATAGTAAAAAAATGTTGTAATATAGTTAGAACATAAAGTGGATTTTTTTTGGAATTATTAAAAAAAAATTAGCCGCGCACCCGGGGGGTGAAAGAATTTTTTTTAGGTTTCATTTTGTTTCTGGAATAGCAAGAATCTAATGAATAAAAGCTCCCTCATTACAGGAAAAAAAATTGGTGAAAATATTTTATTATTTAGCCGCGCCCCTGGTGCGTGAATCATGCTAGCTGCTTACCGCGCTTTGTTTATGTTCTAATGAATTGCACTTACGTCACTTGCTCTTGGTGGACAAACGAAAGGACCAAACTCGTTTTTGGGTCCAATTGGTTCATTGCTGGCATTGTGTAACACCAAACCGATACAAAAGTTCCAGCCAATTGATATTACATTACCTGAGCTTAAAGACAAAGATTTTTTTTAAGCAGAGATCAACAATATCTGTATCAGATCTATTGTGCAATTAGAGATGGTGTTTGTTCCGAAGTTGTATGTAAAAGAGGACCTGGAAAAATTAACCATGCGCGTTGGTTGACCACAGCCAACCGTATACTGCGACTGTATGTGGCAACTTGCAATCCTTCGCAAAATCTTCTTCTCTTAGTAGAATTCATTATGAAAGTGTACGCACCTCTGTGGTTCCAAATTAAAACTCGGCCATCGATTGAATATGGTTCCGTGCATCTATGGAAGACTATTAATGTGTCCAGATATCATCCTAGAGAAATTAAAGCAATCGTTGATAAAGTGATTAAAACCAACGCATATTTGGCCACTTGGAAAATATATTAGTAGCTATGATTACCAGAGAAGACATGTGACTACAACCAGAGAAGACATGTGAGAGAACTTGGTATTCGACGAATATTAAATGCTAGAAATCAACCACCAACAAAAGGGTGAATATTCAGAATTGCCGATATAAATTGGAACGCCGAAGATTACACGGAGTTAATTAAGTGGAGCGAGTGCGCTATCACAGAACCACCACCAACATTGGAAATAGAAAATGATGATCTATTAGCAGCTATTAAGGATGAGTCCTTCATAAATGTAAGTAAATTACCATGTCACACTCAATCTGTGCAGAGATGCATAAAGATTGTGAGAGAAGCGTCCAACAGAGTTTGTGGCCCCTCGGCAAGAGATGATTTCATAAGGATTAGACTAGAAGGTATAGAAAATTTACCCTCGTTTGACAATAAAAAAGAGTATTTTAAGGCAAAGTAAAAGCAACAGATTATATTAATTTGATTACATTAATGTGATTTTGTTCCTTTGGGTGCCTCAAAACCTTGCAAAGAAATAAAATAATTATTCTAAAGTGCCAGGGGCGCGGCGAAATATTAAAATATTATTTTCAATTTTTTTTCTCAATATAAGTAAGGTAGTATGTTTCAATTTTACACTATTCCAGATCAAAATAATGAGGTTGAAAAAAAAAATTTTTAGTGCCCCTGGGGCGCGGCTAAAATTTTTTTGAAAATTCTGAAAAAAAATTGCCTTAATCGTTTACCCATCCTACCACTTTTTTTGAGTATGGCAACTCAGATTTCCAAAAAAAAATTTTTTTGCCGTTTTTCGGCCCACCCTAATGTATAGGTAAAACGGCTTCAACACTATTCGCGAAATAAGGCGAAGTAGGTCAAAGTCGAATAGTGAAAAGTGTTATTTCGTATTTCTCGACTAACTCTTTCTTGTCTCAACAAAACACAAAATAACCCCTTTTCAATATTCGACTTTAATCTACTTCGGCTACTTCGCGAGTAGTGTAGTGGCAGTAATTATTAGAGATGAGCAAAAAATCGCAAACTGCGATTAAATCGCAGCAATTTTAAAATCGCAATCGCAACCTGCGGTTGGCGTTCATAGGATCATCATCATCTCTATTTGCGAGTTTCAATTTAGACAACCAGTATTACTATAGCTGCGATTTGCAACTTTGTTGCGATTTTGCTGCGATTGTGATTTCGTAAACTGGAACCGTGATTTCTATCACGAGTTTGAATTTTTAAGAGTTGCGATTTGCGATATTGTTGCGATGGTATATTGAAGCACTTTTTATAGTAAACTGCGATTGAATTTTCTCTCTGATATTATTTATTTATAGAGAAGGTATTATTTTCTAGTGCCACGATCATAATATACCGGGTGTTTCTGAAGAGTGGCTGACCCCTATTACTTTTTATTTTTTCTGATATAAAACGAGATTTTGTGTGTTAGAATATGATATAAATTAGGATTGATTGACGTATTCAATTGTTTTTGGCCACTTTCTGTTTCACCGGAAATGACTACAACTTTTGATTTTTAAATGGCACCTTCGGTATTTTTTTTTTACTTTATTTGATAGAAAATGACTGAATAGAATGGCATATCATATGGCAACTTTTGACAATTTCGCTTAAAAAATTATATTTGAAATTTCAATCTAGAATGTCACTGTGTTAAAAAAACACTAATTTTTAATCAAGATGTCCTGGAAAACTAGATTTGATCATCTATTGTTTTTCGTGTCTGTCCTGGCTAGTTAAAAGATGCCCAAATCGTATTTTTAATCATATCTCAATTTTTTCAAATGGAACGAGTGTGGCTCATTGCCATATTTAGAGAAAGCATTTTTACGAATAATTTGGTTTGGTAAATATTAAAATCGCAATCACAGGTTACAGTCGCTGTGATTTAAAAATCGCAATTGCAGTTCCAATTGCAATTGGAGAATCGCAGTTTTGCTCATCTCTACTAATTACGAACCCTAACAACTAAATATTCGGACAAACGAAAATTTATTGAAAAACTTTATTTTTATAAACTGAAAATTATTAAATTTAAGAACTACATTAAAAATATATTAAACCCTTGTTTATATATTAATAATCAAGGATTAAACTGTATATTTTTTTTGTTTGGTTTCTATAAACATTAAAATAAACTGTAGGCGAATAAATAAACAAAAAACATTGCACAATATCCTGACAACTAAAATGTTCGGACATTTTAAAAAACAACTGTTTTAATATTGCGTTACATCGGCATGCGCTTTTACAACCACTGCAAAATTGTCTGGCATTGTTTTTATTAATGATTGACATGCGTCACGGTAAAATTTTTGTCATAATTCACCTAATATCATCGTTAACAAATGGGCAATCGGTTCGTTGGTGATTGTCACGCAATTTTTGTTTCGTTATGCCACAACGTTTCGGTAACATTAAGGTCCGGACTGTTCAAAGACTACGAGAGGACCTTGATGTTAATGTCCCTAGACCATTTTTAGTATTTTTAGCTATATGACATGCACCACCATCCTGTTGAAATATAAAATTCATGTCCTGGTAAAGGTCTCTCGCACTTTTGGCACAGGATTATTTTTCAAAATTAATTTCTTGATATTTTGACACATTAATTGTGCCATGTACCACCTCATACCTTATCCTAGACCCATTGCGGACATACACCCTAAAAGCATAATGCCTCTACGAAATTCCACTGTCCTTTTGAGGCAGTCTTACATGAGGCTCATACACGCTTGCTTGCACATGTAATCCTTGCACTTGCAGTTTGCGATTGGATTGGAATTTCTGATTTTACAAACTACAAAAATGACATTATGGTGCAATATACAGGGTGGTCCGAACTGTATTCCGGAAACTTCGACAAGGTATTCTCTAGATGAAAATAAGTAAAAAAGGTTCGTATAAATGTATGTCCGAAAATGCCTAGTTTCAGAGATACTGGGTGTAGAAGTTTCATTTTTATTTCGATTTTTTCTAAATCATTTCTGAAGTAACGCCAATATTTGGATGAAAGTTGGTGTCTGGGAGTTATTTGGCATGAGAAATCTGATTTTGATGTCAATATAACTCCTATTTAAAGGGGGCGCCACCTACATGTGTTTTAACTGTTTTGAATAGTGATACATTTTTGTACGTACCTGTATAAAACTACTGAGTGAAAAAATATACATTTCCGTGACTTTTTACGTAAAAAATATCTCTTGGCAAAAATCGCTACGAGCAACCGTTCTCATGATATTTAGAATGGAAATAGTCAATACATGCCATCGTTGACAAAAAATAAACACGTTGGGTAGATAGTTATTTGACTGAAATAATAAATTTGGGAAATTTTTATTTTTTTAAATTAATCATAATTTTTTCGCAGAACAGTTTCAATAAAACCCTTTCTGTTGAGCTTTTGGCACAAAAACATTTCAAATTTATGATTTCAGTCTAATAACTATTTAGTTGACATGTTTAATTTATGTCAATGATAATAGGGATTGATAATTTCGATTCCAAATATCTCGAGAACTATTACTCGTAGCGATTTTTACCAAGAGATCATTTTTAAGTAGAAAATGCTGTAAATGTATATTTTTTACTTAGTAGTTTTATACAGGTACGGACGAAAAGTTATTACTCTTCAAACCAGTTAAGAAATATGTAGGTGGCGCCCCCTTCAAGTAGGAGTCATAATTGACATAAAAATCAAATTTATCATGTCAAAAAACCCCCAGACATCAATTTTCATCCAAATATTGACGTTACTTCAAAATAATTGGAAAAAAATAGAAATAAAATTGAAACTCCTACACCCTGTATCTCCGAAACTAAGCATTTTAGGACATATATTTACACGAACTTTTTTACTTATTTTTATCTACAGAATATTTCACCAAAGTTTCCGGAATACAGTTCAGACCACCCTGTATAAATATCCCAGAATCCGATGCTGATAATACCAATTGCAAATTACAAGTGCACTAATTACATGTGCACATGAGCCAGCTTATATAAATTAATATTAAATATTAATAAAAAAAAAATTAATTATTATTAAATATTAATTATTAATATTGATTAATAGTGTTATGTTTTTGACTCGGTTCCATGTGGATAAAAAGTATAATTTAATTAACAAAATTTACTTTTACTAATTGACAGAACAAGAAATACTTCAAAACTGTCAAACTTATTTACTACTATATATCTAAGGCATTTATTTAGCCCGGAAAGATACACGTCGACCATAACCACCCGTAACTTATCGTCTATCCTTGGTAACATTATTGAAAGCTATCCTTGGTAACATTATTGAGCTGCCGATAATCGACACAGACCCTTGTGGCACCGTTCTTTTTTACTTTTTTACTCCACGGGCTGTTAGATGGTTCGATGACACCTTCTTGTTTCATTTCTCGAAGCATTTTGTCAGTTTCTTCACGTTTGGCAGGTGGAAGTCTCCTCGGATTTTGTTTGATTGGTCATGCATCACCGGTATCAATTTTATGTTGTACTAAATTAGTACGACCTCTCTGCCCTGCTTCTCCTTTATCAAACACATCTTGATACTTGATTACCAGGCTTCCTAATTTTCTAATATCTTCGGGAGATAATCCGTTAACTAGCGCCTTCACCATTTTGTCCGGAATTTTTGAAACCGAAGCTTTGGACTTATCCATAGATAAAAGAAAATAATCTGCTATTAGACTTCTCTAAGTCCTAAAAATCAAAAGGCGTTGCTATGGTAATATCATGTCGATTTCATTCTTTGATAGGTGGTCCTTATTAATTTTGATTAACGTCATATTTTTTGCCGATGTTAATAAACTATTACATTTTCCGATAACTATTATCACCCTTTCCGTATCATTGAACTAAATAAATGTTGTGCTTCTTTAACATTTTAAAACAGCAAAAAATATGACGTTAATTAAAATTTTATCAATAACAATTGATATTTAGATTTAATTTTTAGGACATTACTTTTTTGGAAAAAATCATCTATTATATATTTAAATGTTTTTTTTTATTTTCTCTAAAACGGTATGGAAATTTGGAAACGTATAAAACAGATTAATCATTTTAGAATAAGCAAATTTTTTTATGAAGAATGCATTTTTCTCAAAATATCAATAATAAAAAAGTTTTTCCTCTTGTAAAGACAATCCGGGGACATACTGTAGATATAATCGAACACCGCTAGAGTGTCTATTTGATAAAAAATTGCCTCAAGAGGACAGTGAAATTTCCTAAAGGCATTATGATTTGAGTGCCAAAAAATCAAGAAATTTTGAAAAATAGTTTTGTACCAATAAATGCGAAGGGCCTTTACCAGGGCATGAATTTTATATTTCAACAAGATTTTATGTAATACGGCTAAAACTACTAAAACATGGTTTAAAGGCAGTAACATTAAGGTCCTCTCATGGTCTTCGAACTGTCCGACATGTTATAGGGACATTGCAACATGACAATCATGACATAAACCAAAAATTGCGCGAAGATCAACAACGAACCGTTGCCCATTTGAGGATGATAATGGGAAAAGTCTGACTCTGGCGTATGTCAATAATTAAATAAAAAGCTTCCGAACATTTACTTGTCCAGACATCGTGCAATGTTTTTGTTTATTCATCGGCTTACAGCTTATTTTAATGTTTATAGAGGCTAAACTATTTAAATGCTCATTATAAATGATGCATTTTAATATATTGTGATGTACCGTATGATCGAATAAAAACGGCGTCAGCGATGGCGATGAAATGACGATCGATGACATTTCCCATATAATTTTACATATAAAATGACAGCGATCTTCATTTTATAGCCATCGCTGACTCCGTTTTTATTCGATCGTACGGTAGTTCTTAAATTTAATAATTCAGTTTGTGCAAAGTTTTCAATAATTTTGGTCGTTCGCATCTTTAGCTGTTAGGGCTCTTTAGGGCTTCTTTTAACTGAATAACTTGATTATTTTTTATAGGTCAGTCGAATGAAAACTATTGATACTTTTGTTTTAAATCAAGGAAATGCAAAAATTCGTTTTGTAGCAGTATCGGCTACAATTCCTAATGTAGAAGATATTGGAGAATGGATAGGACCTTCTGGATCAGCTATACATTATAAGTTAATAAGTTACCACATAAAATAAAAAAAAACAATATAACAGTGACCTTTGCTTGTAAACGATTAGCATGTCTAGAGACTTTTAAACTTTTTTTATTTAACTATTAACATTTGACAAGTTCTTATGGCAGTTTTTATTAAATGTCTTACAGAGGCTGTTTCGACAGAACTTATAATCGATTTTCATTACAAAGGTTACTATGACGTCATTTTTATTTGATGGTATGGTATAAATGATTTATCATTTTAATAATTTTATTACAATTTCTTAGTCAGAGGCGGTCTAACTACCAAAATCTACATATATAAAATGCTAATGTTTATCTGTGTCGTCTCTACTGAAGTAACGACTTGCTCTAGAAAGTTGCTTTTTTTACTAAAAGATAGCTAATTGGCTCTTCTAAAAACTGTCGTCGCCGGATTTTTTGTTTTTCATTTAATTAAACAAAAATAAAAAGTATTTTTGTTTCCTGATGTCGTGGCGGATGCGCCAGGTTTCAACTAGTTAATTCTTTGGTTAACTATATTATTTTATTATCTAAACGAATTTTCGAAATTCTAAATCATAATTCCAGCCATATGGTTTTTTCAACATACCACTGTTAATCTTCTAGATTTTCTGAAGACGTGAGACCTGTTAAGTTGAACAAAATTGTTTATGGATTTACATTCCATCCCAAAGACCAGTCCGTTTTCAAATTCGATTGGTCTTTGAATTACAAGCTTCAAAATTTAATATCAAAATACTCCGAAGGACAACCGACTTTGGTAATACACAAATATAAAAAATGTCCATTTTCGTTAGAATTTTTCTCCTTATAGATTTTCTGCAGTACCAGGAAAAGTGTTGAAATGACGGCCAAACACCTGGTCGATAATTTACAGATTCGGTTGAAGCAAGAACAAAAAGCTATGTTGAATGAGATTTCTTCGCGTTTAACTGACGTGAAATTGCAACAATATGTTATGAATGGTATTGCGTTTCATCATGCGGGTTTGGTGCGTGAGAATCGGTACTCTATTGAAGAGGCTTTCAGACAAGGACACATTCCTATTTTGGTAAGTTTGGTCATACTTATTTTCAGTGGCGGCTCGTGGGTATAAAATTAGGCGAAGAGATAATTTTATAAATTGCGCCGGAGGCGAAATTTTTTTTGGCGCATTCGCCATTTTGTCAACATCTTTTAAAATATTATTTGAAAAAATTTTGCTGCATTCACCGTTTTGTCAACATTTTTTTGTTATTATTTATTCACTAATACCTATAATATTTTTAGTTTTCGATAAACACATTATTTTGCATTCCAGTGAAAATATAATTAAATTTAAATTAAATATAATAAACATTATATACGGTGTCCACCATAAAGTTGGATCCATATGGACGTTTTTTTTATATTAGAGTTTTAAAAAATCTTTTTGTGGCAATCACTTCTGCTTTGAAAACAACTTAAAATGCACCAAGTCAAAGTTGACAGCTAACATCTGGGAGCTCTTAATACAAAATATTTAAAAGAAATTTTTAAAAATTGGTTAAATTATTATTATTTTAAAAAAGGTGGCTAACAAAATTCTCAATTTTCAACTTTGACCTGGTGCATTTTAAGTTGTTTTTAAAGCAGAATTGATTGCCACAAAAAGTTTTTTTAAACTCTAATACCAAAAAAAACCGTCCATATGGATCCAACTTTATGGCGATATCTGTAATTATTGAATGGCTTCACCGAAAAACGTTGTAACCGACATTTTTTTCAAACTAGAGATTTCAGTGAAATAAGGTTGTAATTTTCATAGGTATAACGTTTTTTTCTCGGTTTTTTCACTGAAATTTCGATATTGAAAAAATTGTTGGTTACAACGGAGGATCCATTCAATTATTACATTAATGTTTACTAAGCAATATTAACCAAAATAAATTTGACTTATTTATATTACTAACCTTACTAATTTTTGTAAATAAGCCCAATTTTTCTGTTCTTGATTGATGCAAACTTATCAGTAATATCGTCATTTAATTAATTAATTATATTCACATACACTAAAGTCTAGTTAAACGAACATTTCATTAAAAAAAGAGTTTATTAGAAAATAGTAAACACGACCAACAAAATATTTTTTGTAAAACAATGCTACTACATAGCCAATTAAAATCAGAAAACCTGGAAGACTTAAATTTAATATTATAAGATTTACTACTTTTTCTTATTTCTTTTTTGCAATTTATGGTTAAAGTTTCAGTTGGTCGCCCTTGAGATAAAACATCCCTCTTATCTTCATCTGTCCACCGTCTGAAGGGAGTTTCCAACAAATTGCACACCAAGTCATTAATTTGGTTTATTTTTTAACACATACACACACACAAAACAGTTTTAAAACACAACAACAAAACAAACAGCAAAAATTAACAAGTTAAATCAACAAAAACCATTAACTTACAGCAATAAATAATAAACAACAACTTTACAGTGTTTACACGATTAATTACTCGCCGAAGTAGCCGAATATTAGCATAAATGCATAAATTATGCGCCAACGCCGAACGCCGCTCGCCGTTACACATTTCCTGAACAATTAAGTTGAAGGAAGACGAAGAGAACTGCCCAAAAACTCATTCACATCGGTCACCGATAATAAATTTCGGGGCGGGGGATTTACATCTGCCGCTAGGCTGACGTCACGTTACCATGAAAACCGTGCAGTCGCTTGGCTGAGAAATACAAACATTTTCACTTGCACTTCTGGGTTTGCTTTTGGCTTGTAGGCGCGTGCGGGCCTATAATGCTACTTTTTCGGCCGGAATTAACGATGCGGTGGACCTGTTATGCAGAGGTCCGCCCGGAAAAAAATAAGTAACTTATAAAAAATTACCATTTTATTATTTAGATTCATGTAAATATATTAAACTAAATTAATATTTTAAGCAGTAACGTTTTTTCTTTAATTTGAGTATTTTTTTCGGTGAAGTGCCTCTTCACCTACTGTACCTGACGAGCCGCCACTGCTTATTTTGTGTGTACTTTCATGTAAATGTTCAAGCACATTTTTATCAAAAGTAGACTATTTTTTTATAATTTAGCTTAAATAAATATTTAATTTTATAGAGAAGCAGCAGCTATACCGAATAAAGGTTGATTTTCATTATACCTTCGGTTTCCATTCCATATCCGTTCCGGATTTTTTGATTGTATTCATGCTATACGTATGCTTCCTTTCCGTCTCAGTTCTATAGTTTTTATTATACAATTTATAACATTACGAAAGTTTAATTTTAAAAATTTGTATCTTTGGACAAATGTAATAGATTTAATTAAGAGGTGAAAGAATAAATAATTATCAGCAAAATGTTAACAGAGCTGGTAAAAAGGTAAGAACTTGACAACGCTGTTACGATACGCTTCAGTCCGTCGGCCAAAAAAATGTATGGAAGGAAAGGATATGAAACGGAAGGGAAACGGAACGGATAGTGTGCATTGTCCTATTCATTTACGTGATATAATATTTTATATAAACGGAATGGAAACGGAAGGTATAGTGAGAATCAACCTTAAGCTTTCTATTTTTTTTTGAAATTTGTAATTCTTTATGTCAAATAAATAATAGAAATTCGGTTAAAAATGTTTCAGTTTCTTAAAAAAATTAAACAGAACTTAACAAGGACTATTATTTAAATAGAAAATTTCATACGCAAACCTAACGACTAATTTTTTTTATATATTTGTGTTGTATCTGATATCTTTTACTTTTGCTACATTAATTTTTGAGAAACATTGGTTTCAAGTTTCATTTATTTTATAAATCGTGTTCTTTATTTTGATGTATTTATTTGTTCTTCTCTTTTAGAAATACTCTTGTTCAAGGGTAATATCTCTGAGTATAAAAGGGTAAAACATACAGGGTGATTCCCCAACTTGAAACAAATTCAGTGTATCAATGATATAATTTTTTTGAAAATATCATCGTAGTGTTTTAAATTGTGTTCTTGATGTTCTTTGACGATAAGAAAAATTTTGATAGATCTTGTTCCAAGATTGAGATATGACATCATCACCATTTTTTTTCGAACTTTTTCGAGTGTCTTGGGCCGTTGAAGAATTTCAATTCCAGGTTACGGATGGAGTCTTCCCGGTTCTTCAGTTCCGCTTTAAGTTATTTTCCGCTTGGAAAGAAGAACGGTTCTGGTCCAGTTAGTGGAGTGTTCGCTCGTTTTCTAGCTAGATATCGTTTGTTTTTTCATTGCCTTTTATCCGTTGGTGAGCTGGTAGTAGGAGGACTTTTATTTTTTTTGCCTAATTTGTTTTAGGCATTATTTGACCAACTTCGAATTGATGGTTAAAGCTGGAATGGTTACTGATGAAATTTATGGTTAGTTTAATTACAGATGACAGCCAAGAAAGTTATAATCATGCACAATTATTTTCTGATCCCTTGACCCCCCCCGCTCCTATAAATCTAAGCCTGAACATGGCGGCCACCATTATTAGAATTTGTGCGCTCGTTTATGCTCGTTACTAATTTATGCTACCTTTATATTTCTTTTTCTTTCCATAGGTTACTACAAGCACCCTGGCTATGGGTGTAAATTTACCCGCCCATTTAGTAATAATAAAATCCACGAAATGCTACGATTACAGCGGCGGTTATAAAGACTACGACGAAGTGTCCATCTTTCAGATGATTGGCAGAGCCGGGCGATCTCAGTTTGACACTTGTGCCACTGCTTTGATTTTAACTACCGCCCAAGACAAGGTTTTAGCTATAAATTGTCTATAAGAACATAGAAATATTTTAATATTTTTCTTTTTGGTTTCGTTCACAGGCAAAGTATGAAAATATGGTGGCATGTACTCAGCCAATAGAATCCAACCTTCATAAACATCTCACTGAACACTTGAATGCTGAAATTGTCTTAAATACTATAACTGACTTGGAAGTGGCTATGAGATGGTTGTCGTCCACATTTTTGTATGTCCGAGCCAAAAAATGTCCTGAGAAATACAAGCTACCTGTTGGACTGACCCAAGAGAAAATTGACAAAAAACTACTGGGTATGATATGTCATTTCGTTGAAATATATTTTCGAAAATACAAATAAATTATTATTTTATATTTTTTATATTTTTTTAAATAAAATTATTTGAATTGCTGTCCGCTATAATAGAGAGCGTTGCCATGAATATGTTGAATAGGAGAGGTGCTAAGACACATCCTTGCCTAACTTACTGTATTTGTTAGGAAAAGATCGCTCAGTTTTTGTGATAAAATATTTTAGTAATGTCAACAAATATATCATAAAATGTTAAAACTTTTAGCGTTATTTATATTAAAGTTTTATTTTCTAGAAATATGCCAAATTGACTTAAATAAGCTAGTTGGCGCTGGAATGGTTAACATAAACCAATGTATCGAAATATCGCCCACAGTAATTGGAGAAATTATGGCTAAATACTACGTGGCATTCAACACCATGAAATTATTTACAAAAGTAACAATAATATACATACTAGACCAAAATTAACATAAATTAATAATTTTTCATATTTTTTGATTGTAGATTACAGGAACTGAAATTATGATACAGTTATTAGGAATATTTTCAAAATGTAGCGAATTTTCCGATATACGATTGAGGACTAATGATAAAAAATGTCTCAATTTACTTAATAAACACTCTACCAAAGAAACCATTAGATTTCCTCTAAGTGGTAAAGTCACATCTAGCGATATGAAAGTTAATTGGTATAAAATAAATTAATGAAAATTATTGAACCTATTATTTATATATTTTTTTAATTTTTAACCAAGTATCATTCAGGCCATGTTAGGAAATCTAGAGATACATGATCAGTCAATTCTGAACGATTCATCCAGAATTATGCGATGCTGTGAACGTTTATCAAAATGTAAGTAGTTTCTGTAGTAAGAGAAAATCCCTTAAATCAATCAATATTTCTTCTGAAGATAGGGTTATCAGACGTTCGGATTTTCACTACATCTGGTTGCCGGGCGGATTTTTCATAAGCGTCCGGATTTTAATGTTCCATTAAGAAATGTCACAATAATGCAAAATAATATATTAGTTTTAATAAATTTAGTTACTTAAAAAATCGCCGATAAATTCAGCAGTGTAAATTTATTGTTTTAAAATTAAATTGTTTTAATTCATTGTTTTACTTTGTACGAGAGCTAGCAACGTCGGAAAAACAAGTATTTTAAGACGTCTGGCTCTTTGATGTATCTTTTACTGTGCTCTCTAGAACAGCATGCGGCCCGTCTGGCTACCGGTAAACGTTGCGTTCCCTACTGCGCATTGAAAGAAGATCCTATATTTTTATTAGTCCTTTAAATTCTAGTATTGAATATAAATCGAACATATCTCCATAGCGCAGTGCGTAGAGTTTCCGACCACGAACTGATGATTCAGAGTTCGAATCCGGGTCAGGGCAAAGACTTTTTTATTTTATTTTTGTTTATATTCTGATAGTAAAGTATTAAATAATTCTGGTGATTCAAAAAAAAACAAATATTTAATACTTTACTATCAGAATATAAACAAAAATAAAATAAAAAAGTCGTTGCCTTGACCCGGATTCGAACTCTGAATCATCGGTTCGTAATCGGAAACTCTACGCACTGCGCTATGGAGACATGTTTGATTTATATTCAATACTAGAATTTATAGGACTAAATTAATAAAAAATATAGGATCTTCTTCCGATGCGCACTACTGAATGCAACGGGTATCGGCAGCCAGACTGGCCGCATGCTGTTCCATAGAGCATAGTAAATATATATCAAAGAGCCAGACGTCTTAAAATACTTTCTCGAAAACGTTGCTAGCTCTTAGACTATAAGTTCTGAAAGTTATAAATGTATTTTTTTCAAACGTCACAAAATTATTAATTTTTGCCAATTTCTTTTTCATTTTTTAATTATTTTAACGCCTAGAATAAAAGTAAAGCACTCCTAAGCACAAAAGTACGATAATATATTATTAAACTGACATAAAAGGTCAAATTCAACCAGCGTATTAGTTTCGTCTATCACAGTTTCTCGATACTTACTTCTATACATTTACTAGGTGTTACTTCTTTGGTGTTACTTTTAAATCTTTTTGTATTATTTGGAACGTATAGAATATTTAAAAAATTATTTGCGGCATTTGAAGAAAAAATAGCATGTTCTATTTGGAGTAAAAATGATTTTTGTACCTCGCCTGTATGACGAACGTAGAGCCTCACCAGAAAAAGTATCATTTTTACTCCTAATAAATGACGTCTGGATTTTGTCCGGATATTTGGGAAGGCTTGCTCGGGGTGGACAAGTTTTCATTTGGTAACCCTATCGGAAGAGAATAAAAAGCGCGTATTCTCACATTCTTGTATTATTATTTTTTTCCTTTATATATTTTTTATTTAAAATTTGAAATAAATACACCCGATCTCCACCTTGCTAGTGAAAGATAATATATTTTTTATAAAATTCGTAGTAAAGCAAAGGTAGAAGCAAAATAAAATATTTTTTTAAAAATGGTTTAAATTTATTTATAAATTAATTAATTAATACTAACAATGTGTGGTATAATAACTACTACCCGTGTGGTATAATATAACAAAGGTTTATTAGAATCTATCAGAAATAGCGTAATAACTTAAGGAATAATGACTTGGTCAATATTTATGGTGCTGGTCGATGGAATTACTTTATTGTCTTAAGACGTGAAGATGAGACGTACGCCCTCAAAACAAAAGCTTTGTAAAAAAATATTATGTTTTTAATAATTTTTCAAAAACAAGCATGTCAACCGATACTGATCTTCTTACTTCTTCATGCCCCAGCCCCAGTTGTCGCTAGCTAGATGTACGCTAGAGGATACAGAATCACAGGACACTAAAAATTAATTTAATTAATATAAAATCTCTTGTTAAGATTCTTAGAACATTTTGGCAGTATTTTAGTTAATTATATCTTTTCTGTCATTTAATGTTTCTGAATTTTATCTAGAAATTACATTGTTTCTAATAATACGATTTTTAGGTTTGATTGAATATCTAGAAACAAGGCCTAACAGTTACAGTGCTTTATTAAATGCTATTATACTTGCAAAATGTTTTAAGGCAAAATTATGGGAAAATTCTGTTTATGTCTGTAAACAATTGACTGGTGTCGGCCAAGTTTTCTCACAAACAATGGCAAGAGCTGGACTAACTTCGTTCAAAAAAATTATAGATACTAATCCAAGAGTAATTGAAATGGTAAGAAACACTAAACATATATAGGATGTTCCCGACAACTTTGAATACAATTACACTATTATAAATATTCTGTTTTTGATGTTTTATTTTATAGCATATTGGCAGAAAACCACCATTTGGAAATAACATAGTGGAACAAGCTAAGGGTCTACCTCAGTATGAGATGAAAGTGGAAAAAAGAGACGATGTCGTGTTTGTCGAGATAAATTTAGTGAATTTACAAGAAATTCAAGCCAAGTGTACTGTTGATTTATACTCAACTATGACGTTACTGGTCGGAGATAGTGACAATAACTTGATTATCTACGAAAAGTATTCGTAAGTTATTTTCTGCCTGAACCTCAAGTCAATTAGATTATCGATGTGTCTCTATATGGTAATACTGCTATGAAATAATACACTTGTTTCTATTTTTAGACAATCTTACATGTTGGATTCGCCTACAATAACAAAAATTGTCAAAATTGAAAATCAAGATTTGGAAAGTATAACTGCTAGTTTTATAAGTGATGACTGGGGTAATTATTGTATTATACTTTTATAATTTTTGGAGTATATTCAATAACATTGAATAAAAATGATAAGAGAGGATCATATCAGCAATATTAGCGCGACCGCGAAGGTACTTTAATATGGCTGACTTAATATCCAGTTTATTAGTGACGTTCTATTTTTTTAAACGTATTAAAATATAAGGAAGGTTAGACTCACTAATTTCCCGGTTTACTTATTAAATGTAGTTATTAAAATTGTAAAAAATATATTTCTAATAAAAACAAAAAATAACTTAATATAATTATTTAATAACAACAATACACCTACGCCACTGAACAAATAAGTAAAATACACGTATCGTAATTATTCTTATCAAGTAGTAAGTTACTCTCTATACAGGGTCCGGCAATAGTGCGTCGGGCATCTGTAGCTCCTAGAATAAAAAACTTGAGAATTTTGTTTAAGTGCAGACCTAAAGTATGTACCAGGATGTATTTCCGGAAAATATTTGAACTTCTATAGGGTGGCTCAAAAAAGTGTGAGTGGATCTGGATGATTTTTTTAAATGGAACACCCTGTATATTATTGCATTTTTGGCTTCCTTTCAGATCATTTTATATAATCCTAAGATATGAGTAAATCTATTTCGATAGTTTAAGAGATATTAAAAAATAAATCAAAAATATATATTTTTCAACCCTTCTTAAAAAAAAATATTAAAACTACAAGAATTGTTCTGAAATCAAAACTATATTAGATATTTACTTTAGATGGTCTGTTCTTACTTTGCTATAAATGTGGTAATCGTAAATCATACATGATGTTCAATATTTCACGCCAAACATTCAACAATATAAATTAATTTTTCTTGATTTTCTTAAATGGAACACCCTGTATATTATTTTTTTATTTGACGGAGAATTAAAAAATGAACATTTTTTGTATTTAAAGTATTTCAAAATTTTTAATAGTTTTCCGTATACACGCAGTATTATTTCATATGGCGCTTTCAATGGTAAAATATGAGAGAAAAATCATTGGGTGGCTTTGATAAAAATTTACTGTGGAAAATGCCATATGAAATACAAAACCGGGAATATCTGCGAAACCGTTAAAAATGTTGAAATAATCTAAATGCAAAAAATGTTAATTTTTTAATTCTCCATCTACTGAAAACATAATATACAGGGTGTTCCATTTAAAAAAAAACAAAGAAAAATTATTTTATATTTTAGAAAGTTTGGCGTAGAATTTTGAACATCCTGTAGGATTTACGATTTCCATATTTATAGCAAAGTAAGTACAGACCATCTAAAGTAAATATCTAAAATAGTTTTGATTTCAGGGCAGTTCTTGTATTATTAATAATTTTTTTAAGAAAGGCTTAAACATATATAATTTTTGTTTATTTACCGTATGATCGAGAAAAAACGGCGTCAGCGATGGCTATGGAATGAAGATCGCTGTCATTTTAAATGTAAATTTATATGGGAAATGTCATTGATGTTCATTTCCCAGCCAACTGGACGCCGTTTTTTTTCGATCATACGGTATTAATATCTCAGAAATTATCGAAATATAATTACTCATGTCTTAGGATTATGTAAAGTGACCTGAAGGAAAGCCAAAAATACAATAATATACAGTGTGTTCCATTTAAAAAAAATCACCCCAATCCACTCATGCTTTTTTGAGCCACCTTATAGAAGTTAAAATATTTTCCTGAAATACATCCTAGTACATACTTTAGGTTTGCATTTAAACAAAATTCCCAAGTTTTTTATTTTAGAAGCTACAGATGCCCGACGCACTGTTGCCGGATCCTGTATACTATACTCTATTTCAAATTTATGTAGAGATGGGAATTCAAATTTACGTTTTGACGTTCCCCGTACTTTTTCTTAATCTTTGTGAAAGTCAAATTTTAAAGCGTTTAGCAAATCATGGACACCTCAAATCTCATTGAAATCGGAATAACGGTTCTTAAAATATCTTAAAAAATGTGTTTAAATGTTTCATGCCCTCTAACGAAGAAACGGAGAATTTTTATATGTATAGAGGTAAATTGTGTCCAATGAGCTTATTTTGATCCCCAAAATACGTAGTAGTGTACTCTATGTCCAGGGAATATTGAGATACCCTGTATAATAAAAAAAGGAATACTATAAAATGACTGAAGTCTTAACTCTTAAACCCGCAATTCAAATCAAAATAAATTGTGTCAACTGTCAAACAACTACGACTATAACTGCAATGAATATTAAAAATTGTATTCGATGACTTTTATTATTATAGTCTTATTTTTTCAATGGTTTATAACTTATTGTTGGAATTTTGCGTAACAATTTCTAAATGCACTAGTTTTTTAACTGCCGCCAATTTTTAAAAATAAATATGTAATATATGATAAATTTCAATAAAAAATTTCTCGATCGTGGATTAATAAATGTTTTAAATGTAGAATATCGGTTTTTTCGATCTTAATGTTTTACTATATTAAATAAAACTCATTTGTTTTTAAACTCAATATTTCTTCATCAGGAGAATTAAAATACTCTAGTTTTAATTCTACTGATGAAGAAATAAATTATATCGAAATATTGAGTTTAAAAACAAATGAGTTTTATTTAATATAGTAAAACACTAAGATCGAAAAAAAAACGATATTCTACATTTAAAACATTAATATATAATAAAGATAATTGAAAATTGAACACAAAAATTAAATCTAAATAGCATACTATAATCCTTAGTTTTTATAATTTTAATATTTGTATAATTTTTTAGTTGGTTTTGATTGCAACCAAACACTTCGAATAATTGAAAAAGCTTCAGTAGTCAAGCCAAGTCCAAATAAATCTAAACAAACAGTTCTAGACATGTACATGAAACAAGTTAAAAAAAGACCAAAAACGAATAAAAAGGCGGTAATGTTAACTTTTTCATCTACATCTCTTTCATAAAATTTATTTAATAAATATTTCAGGTAAAAGCAAACAGGACTAACAGCAAAATTGATATACAGCAAAATAAAAGAAATAGTGCAGAAAATGTCGAAAATAATTGTGTTAAAAAATCCGAAATTGAAAATAAAATCTTAGAGGTTTCTCAAAATAAAGGTAATGAGCAGAATAAGGAAAACAAAGAAGATAAGATTGTTTGTGATGAAGCTGTAATGAGCGATATAAACATACAAAGCAAAGTGGATAAATTAGTTGAAGAAATGAACGATGATAAAAATTATATGAATGACATTAACATCGATAGCCTTGAAAATGCCCTCCAAGAATTGAAAGAGAATAATTTCTTTGAAGCTGATTCCAATACCAACAAAATTGAAAGTAATATTTTTGATATAAATATATAGTTGTTTTTTTCAGATTTTATTGATCTTTGCTGGATATTTTTTTAAAATTTCTGGACCTAATTTTAATTCTTTATATAAAACCAATTACAAGCAAAATGACACATCTATATTATTAAAATTCATGCAAACTTTTTATTTGTTAGGTATTCTACAACGAGAAGATTCGCCCAAGAAAATAAATATTAACAAGAAACGAAAAATACTAATTGGAAGTAAATTATCAATATGTAACAAAGAAAATAACCAAAACTCGAAAAAAATCTTAAGTAAAAAATCAAAATTATCAGAGCTGAATAAGAAAATCGAACTTAATAAAAGTATCCAAAATCAAAATTCAGAAACAGTTACATCTACTAATTGTGAAAATTTGGAAACCAAAGATCCCGATAATGACAGACCTTATGTAATTAAAGAAGTGATTGAACCAAAAAACAATACTATTAGCAATGATTCGAAAGATGAAGCTAATTTACTTCAAAACAGTTTCTTAGAATTCTATAATGATCTTTGGGCCAGAATTAATGAATTTGTTGGAAAAACACAAGTTGTCGTATAATAATAAAAATGAGAATCGCACAACTGAGGATTGTGCCGAAAAAATATCAGAGGTAAGTTATGAAGCTTTAAGAAAGTAAGGAAATAAAAATAAAATAGTAGTAGTTCGTAAATTTGCACTTTGTATATGTTTGACTTAAGGAAAACATCGGCGAAAGAATATATGATTTTGATAGTCGAAAATGACAGAAAGTTTAGTAATGTAATATATTCTTTCGTCCGACAGATTATAGGCGGAAGCCATTGATAAGGAGACAAAAATATGATGTGAATATGTATTATTATATACTTTTACTATTACTTGACTGTGCTCTAATTTATAACTGGTGAATTGCTATAGAATATCTGAAAAGGGCTTTAGTTTTTTAACGAAGATTAATATAGGTATAATAATATATACACATAACTTCGATTGATAAGTGGTATTTTGTTTTTTGTTTAGATATATTTATGTAAAACTACAGAATATGATAAATAATTATAAAAAAAAATAATTGCAAACTTTCATAACCATTTAAAACCATTATTATTCGGAAAGCACAGTTCTCTACCCCTGTCAGATTGTTATTTTTTTATGAATTTTGATTTAAGATAGTATTATATTTATGGTTATTACTTTATATTTTTATTAAATTTCAACCTCAAAAGAAAACTCCCTTTTTCTTGACAGTGTCCATAAGACTGACACTTTTGTAAAGTTACACAAAGTTAAATTTAGTTTAAATAATATAAAATGTGTCGTGACACGCTTATTGCTTATCAGATGGCCATGGAAACAAATTTTGAATTTTACTTGTCAATTGACATTTCAAACTGCAAACTTCTGACTGTGCGAGGTAGACGATTCTCTAAAAATGTTCAATATTAAAAAGGTATGGCCCCATTATATTTCTTTTAGTGATTTTAGTTAAGCACTGGATTAATTTTAAATATACATATAATATAAACCTATTGATATATACGTATAATGCTCTAATTATAAACCGAATGTGTGCATATTTGTTGGAATACACATTAATCAGAAAGAAATTGTTTTACTCTCTTATTAACAGGTATAGCTTAGTTTTAAAAATAAAAGCCTTAACATTAGTAATATAATAATATTAGATATTTAATTTTACTATAAACTAATAAACATGATGTTATGGTGATATTGACATCCCGTTAAAATGAATGAATGCATGATTTTAATATTTAAAAAGAGTTTATTAAAAGAAGTTATTTAATTTTTGTGATCAAACTTTTAGACATTGAATGAATTTTTGAGAATGTAAACCTGAAATGATTAATAATAATGCGTCGTCCGTCATTCCGTCACTCCAATCATATTTATGTATGGGCTGTCATTTTTAAAATAACCCAATTAAATTGCATACAATCAAAGACGGATGATCACACACAACGTTTAATTTGATTACGACAGCTATTTTGATAGGAAGTAATAATAATAATTGAATTGTGCTGCATCTTTACTGGATGATTTTTTGAAGTGAAACTTCTTTACGCTCGCTAGGAGTAAAAGAAAATTCAAGGCCGTGGTACGACAAAAAATCGTCCGATTTAAATGAAATTTGGTATGTCGATAGATTAGACCTAGGCTAATTTGACCGTGTACGACACGTGTCACTGTGACAGTTTGGACATAAGACACGTCAAAAGTTAATGTCGTCCGATCGCAACCAAATTTGGTAGGTAGGCTGTGAGCGACGGTGCACACCAAATACGTTTAAATAAAATATACGACGGCCTCCCCATAAGAGCAATGAGAGGATTTACGTCCCAGTATTGAAGGACAGAAAATCGAGTCGAATGGTTTCAAGACATAAGTTCATCCTTGTTTAGTCAAACCTCCTACAACACACGGATAGACTTATGTAGGAAATGCATTGAAATTCTATAGCCATCCTTCAATATCGGGACAGGAATTTAAGCGGTACCCTCCGTATATTTTATTTTAAACGTGTTGCACACGGTCCCACCCTCTAAAGTTGGATACGACGTTTCGTTTCCATCTTTATCAGGGTGGGACTAAGGATTTGATTTTGAAGAAAAATGTGGTGTCGATTTCAGCATAATTGTGGACGGACTACCCGATGACGCCCTCGACGTTTTGAACCGATGCCTCTAAATCGAAATCATCAGGATTTTATGGGTCAATTCGAACCAAACTCGGCACGTGGATAGAGGTACCCGAATGGAAACCTCAGACTGTCACAGTGATACGTATCGTACACAGCCAAATTGGCCTTGTTCCAATCTATCGATATATCAAGTTTTATTTAAATCGGACGATTTTTTTATTTGATTCATTGATAATAGGGTTTCGTAGTGCACGAAACGTCATCAAAATATCATGAAGAGATGGGGCTTTTCGAGTTTCAGTCCTCTAGCTCACATAGGGCCCGAGTTCATATACGCTCCAAAAATTCATCTCACCAAACCAAACCAAACCACATTTTTTCTCGCTAGCTCGTGTGTCAAGACTGTGTCATATCACAGCTTTGAATTTTTACTCCTATCGCGAATAAAGAAGTTTCACTTCAGAAAGTAATATTTTGTAAGTAATTATAATTATATACCGAGCAACAATGGGTATACTCGTTGAATTTAATTTAATGTCAGAATATTCTATTTTTATACTTTTGTGCTGAGGCGCAAAAGTGCTTTACAAAATGACTTTTTATGTTGTCAATCACGTCGCAAATATTAATACTTTTGTGACGTTTAAAAAATGGTATATATTTTCATTAAATGCCAAAATTATTTGTTTTTGTTACTGGGTACGCTGAAGAAATCCCGCATAAACTTTTTTCCAGTAACACAATAATAGGAAAAAAAATGTTACGAACATTTGGACGCACCCTATATTATAAAATCATTTATTTTACTATTTTTGCAACTAACCTAATTTTTCGTCAACAATCAGTATTCTCTATTATGATTTATTCTTACATCCAGGCATTACTTTTAACTTACCAGTCAATTCTTTTACTTATAGAACACCATGGCCAAACCTGATTCTACTGCTGATCGCGGTAAATTTCATTTTACATCACTATTATCACCAGATACCAGCAATTCTAGGACCAGGACAAATTGTTTCGAGAACAGCCAACAAAAAACCATCAAATGGCGCTCACCTTTAATTCACTCTCCCCAAAACAAATTTTCGCCATGTGTGAATAGAAGTGTTAGATCGGACTTGCAAACATCAAAAGAAGACAAGGATAATAGCAAGGATAGTATTGACGTACATGTGGGGTAAGTCATTATTTAAATTATTAATTAGTTTTAGATATCTATAAATAATTAAACTTTGTGAGCATAAACTAAAAGTCTCTTTTATCTTATTTTCTAGACTTAACGAATGCAGTTTTAACTCTTCCTTACTAATAAATTTGTCTCAGAACGAGAAAAAAACTAGTATGTCTTCTACTTCTAGTAAGAAATCTGCACGATTTCCAATACGCGATCAAGATTATGAAGAAAAAAATAAAAATATATTCGAGAAATCAGAAAATGTAAATAGTATATTTGATTTAGAGTACTATGGTTTGAGTAATACTAAATGTTCAAATGCCGATAAAGATAAACCAGCAATTTCTCAAGCATCAGCTGGAGATTACTATTTCAATGAACTCAGAACAACATCAAAAACTCCGCCAGTTAAAGCCAATAAAACTTACTCAAATGATATTGAAGAGGGAAATGTACTTGCTACACAAGATTTAGTTAATTCCAGTACTCTGTCTGGCTTCAATAAAAGACATTCTTTAGAAAGACCTACACATAGGACTAACTGTGAGGATGGAGCTCATAATGATTCTCGTCTATTATATTCCAATCCCTCAGCTGTGCATACGTCTCAGGAATATTATCCCGAAGGCTTGATTCAATCAAATAATAGAAATGTATGCTGCACGCCGATTAGGTCAGCTGAAAGTACTATTGTTCGAGAACAAGACGTTCTGTTATCACAACACGATTCTCTTTACCAGCAAGCAATGGAACCTCGAAGAATTCTTCATCCTCAATATCGTTTCAATCCATATTCTAACGAGGAAAGAAGTGCATACTTCAGTCCAGCTGCAACTCCACGAGGTGTTATGATGGGTCATGGTTTCGAACAACCTATTATTTACTCTGAAAATTACGTACCAGGATACTCGCAACCAGTACCAAGACTTTTATCGCAGGATTGTTATTTAAATAATGGAACAGGTCCGACATTGCATCATAGATTGGGCCGAGATGATGCATTTTATCCTCCATACCATAATCAAATAGAACAACCTCCAGTCAGGTGCTTATCTTCATCTCTGAATACTCAAAATAGATTGTTGATGGAAGAAATGTACAGTCAAGAACTATATCGAAACTCGGCATTACTCGATCAAAGTTTCAGAGATGAAGATAAATTGCGTTCTGTACAGATGGCTACCAATACAAACATGCCTACCAATAACATTAATAGCCGTCGTATAATGAATTCCAAAGATGACCAATTTAAAAATAACACTTTTCAAGCAGTTAGCCCTGAAAAAGAAAGATTGCCAACCAAATCTCAATTGAAAGAAGCTTACGGTTGCACACCAAAGAAAAAACTTATTCATGATTCACCCAACACATTATACAAGTTTAAGCCAGATTTTTCAGTATCATCTAATTTAATGAACTTAGCAAGGACCTCGAGTGATGAAGCTTTGAATCAAGTTTCACAAGCAAAAACACGGCCATATTTGTTTGATTTACCAAACCCAGTATCGCACCAACCCTCTCATTTAACTCAAATGCCAAATAGATTTAACAATGGACAACAGGTCAAACCTCAAAAATATTTATTTCAGTCTTCAATTAGTTCTTTAAAATCTAAACCTGTATTACAACAATCATCTCATTCTATGGAGTTGTCAAATAACTTTAACCAAGATATTTTAAGCCAAATTTCACAAGCTAGGCCTCAAAATTATTTATACAACTCTCAAAGCCCATCATCTAATGGCTTTGTTATATCAAACCCTGCATTGCAACAATCAAGTCGTCCAGTGAGAGTGTCAAATGGTTTTAATGAAGAAGCATTAAGTCAAGTGTCTCATGAAAGATCTCAAACTTACTTACAGGGTACTCAAAGTCAATTAACGAATAGTTCAGTTAGACGACCATATGTGTTTAGTCCTATTAACGATCAAAATTACTGGGTTCATAATTCTATGAATAAGAATACATAATATTTTTTTCTAATTGTCAAATTTCTAGTTTTCTTTTATATTATTTTTGTATAGTTTTAGAATTTTTATCACAATTAGTTTTAATTTTTGATAGATAACAAAACGATTGATGACAAATTTACTAAGTTGAACATATTGCCTTCAGATAGTTCTTTAAAATCGAAATCTGCATTACAACAATCATTTCATTCTATGGAGTTGCCAAATAACTTTATCCAAAATGTTTTAAGCCAAATTTCACAAGCTAGGCCTCAAAATTATTTATACAACTTTCAAATCCCATCATCTAATGGCTTTGTTATATCAAAACCTGTATTGCAACAATCAAGTCGTCCAGTGAAAGTGTCAAATGGTTTTAATGAAGAAGCATTAAGTCAAGTGTCGCATGAAAGATCTCAAACTTACTTACAGGGTACTCAAAGTCAGTTAACGAATAGTTCAGTTAGACGACCATGTGTTTAGTCCTATTAACGATCAAAATTATTGGGTTTATAATTCTATGAATAAGAATACTTAATAATTTTTTCTAATTGTCAAATTTCTAGTTTTTTTTATATTATTTTTGTACAGTTTTAGAATTTTTATCACAATTAGTGAATTAGTTTTAATTTTTTGATAGATAACAAAACGATTGATGTGATGACAAATTTACTAAGTTGAACATATTGTCTTCAGATAGTTCTTTAAAATCGAAACCTGTATTACAACAATCATCTCAATCTATGGACTTAACTTTTGGCCAAATAACTTTAACCAAAATGTTTTAAGCCAAATGTCACAAGCTAGGCCTCAAAATTATTTATACAACCCTTAAACCTGTATTGCAACAATCAAGTTATTCAGTGAGAGTGTCAAATGGTTTTAATGAAGAAGCATTAAGTCAATTGTCTCATGTAAGATCCCAAACTCACTTACAGGGTACTCAAAGTCAATTAACGAATACTTCAGTTAGACAACCATATGTTTAGTCCTATTAATAAGAATACTTAATAATTTTTTCTAATTGTCAAATTTTTAGTTTCCTTTTATATTATTTCTTTAGAGTTTTAAAATTTTCAACAATGAGTTTTAATTTTTGATAGATAACAAAACGATTGATGACAAGTTTAATAAGTTGAACATATTGTCTTGATCATTTCTTACTAACGCTTTTGGTCAATTGAATTAATAATATTGTTAAAGAGATATTTGTTATTTTTTGTATTAATAATTTAACTTATTTGAGTAAGGTTCTATCTCATTATACTGTTTAATTCTAAAAATGTTAGTGTTGAAGTTATTTTAATAAAAATTTTATAAACGTTTAATTGACTATACTTTTATTTAATACGGCTATTTAAAAAATAATATTTTTCTATACCCTTCGATGTTGCGCATATCCAATATCTCTTGATACAAGCTCTAAAAAAGAAGACAGCATATGGCCTTACACGTGGTTGGACACCTGTACAGTGCGGTAGGAATGTTCCAGTTCTCAGAACTTGTCTTTGTTTATTTAATATGCAGCCAATGTAAGTAGCAATGCAGAACAAATAAAAATATATTTAAAAAAATATTAATAAGATAAACAATTGAATCACTTATTTGAGAAATCCTATAATATCCCCGTAAAATTACACTCCTTATACGTCGATACCCCTATTATTAAAGCATGTATACTGTTTGCTATTTTATGAAGAACATTTCATTTGATAGACAAACCCCATAAGTCATTGGCTAATAGGGTTTTTATAATTTTTTTTATTAGGTATTTTCCTGAGTTACCTATGGGTGGTTTCTCAAATAAGCGATTCAATTGGACACAAAATATTATCTTATAAATACTCAAAATAGGAACTAATTCTAAATATTTAAAAAAGTACTTCATAAAGATACTAATAAAGTTGTACAGTTGTGAAAAATTAGGTGCAAAATATAATTTTTAAATTTACGCAAATAAATGATACCTCTACCGTTATGTTCATATTTCATAATTTAGTAGAACATCTAATTATTTTTTGTTCTGACTTAAATGCCTTGTTATTTATAAGATTACTTAGGATACTGACTAAAATATTCCAAAAAAATTGCTTAAAATACATTGATTATATTGTACAATATCGAGTGATCGTCCATTTTTCAACATCAAAATAACTTATTAAAATATTAAATATATAATATTAAAATCTGTTTTATGTAACGTATTCTTTTCATTTTACAAAATTAATAATATAATATTATTTAAGTTTAACAAAAAATGTTGATCCATATTTTATATAAATAGAATTAAAATGAGTGTTCCTGAAGTTTCTTTGATTTCACAGTACATTAAACACTTTTCCAGATAAATTAGCAATTCATTAATGTTTGTCTCAGTGGTTCTATTGATTTTCATACGTTAGAGAATTATACTTTAAAAGTTACTTTTTAAGTTATTTTTCGTCCAAAACTATATTTTATTAAGTGCTATCACAAACAATTTTGTTTGTGGTATATACAGAATAGTATAGACTCTTTGTATAGACTAATACTGTATAGACAGAATATTAAATTTCTTATGAGATATTTATGGGATTAAAGAATAAAGTGTACTCCAACTAGAGAACAGAAACTTTCTAATAGATGACATACCCAAAATTACAGAAAATAGAATGTACTTTTGTATTAAAATCACAGACAACTGTCACTGTCATTATCTGCCAATATATCGTATAAAAACTTTTGTTAAAACATTCCGAATTTTGCTGTATGACGTTCATGTTTTTCGAGCCATTCAATATTGTGTGTTTAAATTAATTCATGTTTTTCCATACTTTGCATGAAATGTTAAAGAAAGCTGTAATAACAATGCTTCAAAAGTCGAAAAGTTTGAATAAAATAGTTTTTTTATTAACTCCCCAATTAACTACCGTACAATCGAAAAAGAGAGACTTTTGAGGAATGAAAATCGATGATAATTTTGGCTAGTCCAATCTCTAGGCATCATTGACTAAAAATTGACATAAAACTTGTCAAAAATTAACACCACTTATAGAAAGATTAAAAAAGGATAGAACGTTTCCAGGCACACAAATCTACTTCCAAGAAACTATGTTTTCTCGAATTATAAAGTACACCATATAAAAATCATTTTTTACTCACTATAAAAATAAATTATAACATGCTTAAGGCCAACTGGCAGTAAGGGCCATTAAAAAATAAAGAACCGCACGGGCCAAGTAACGACGTAGGGGGTTGACCTCGTCAAAATTATCATTACTTGTCATTTCCCAGCCGTCTTTGTTTGTGTGTCTTTTTTTTAGATCGTATGGTATAAATACACAGATTTAACTAGAATTCTTTCAGTAGTTTTATTAGAAAATATCATTGTTTTTGTCTGTATAATGGTCTGTACTTAATATTAAAAATACAGGCCAATATTGCTTTTTTGTTTAGAGCTTCACACATGTGCTTTAAATTATTTCAAAACTAATTTTTTAATATTTTTTATGTAGAAATTGTCTATAGTAGAAATTTTATCAAAAAATTGTGAAACTTGCAAGAGTCTTGCAGCAAGACCAAGATTGCAGACCCTGCAAGACCAAGACCAAGACTATTTATTAAACTGACCAAGACCATAGTGGGCTCTCGGTCTTTTTTTTCCAACAAGGGGCCGGCCGTCCTCTGCCGGAAACACTGCGACCTGTGAGGCCTATTGTGTTTGTCCCCTTTCTATATCTGCACCCATTCTCCTATCACTGTGCTCTGCACTAACTTATGCAGGTCCTTGATAGGATTCCTCCGGTTTTAGTCTAGCTTTCCCAAATAAAAAGTGTTGCTTGCGATCCAGAGCCTCGCAGTGACGTATTATGTGCTCCGCTGTTTCAGAATCTTTATCGCAGAGTCTGCAGCAAAGACTTCCTTGATACAGGTTGAGCTTGTTCAGGTAACACTTGACAGCCATGTGTCCTGTTGTCATCCGCACTTTATTCCTGCTAAGCTTTAGCAGTTCTTTTGCGGTTTTAGAGCTAGGTCCTTGGATAAAAGCCTTGCTGATCCAGAGTTTTAGTGCACTACGGGCCATACATTTGGGTATTCCCAGTACTGGCTCTGGACCAATAGGATGCCGATGATCCTTGCCTAGCTAGCTCATCGGTTTTTTCGTTGCCTTGGATGCCGCTGTGGCCTGGCACCCAGAATAATTTAATTCTGTTTCTTCGAGCCAGAGCTCCCAGTTCACCTAGGCATCCCCAGACGAGTCTCGACGATACCTTTGGGCTCATAAGCGCCCCAAGTGCCGCCTGACTGTCTGAGCATATATTGATGAGCTTACCCGAATAAGCTTTTCTATTGTTTTCTCTCGCACATTGTAGAATGGTGAAGATTTCTGTCTGAAATACGGTTGAGTGTTTACCCAAGAAAAAGGATAAACTTACCCTTGGTCTTTCCCCAAGCTCCTGTTCCTTTAGCGATCTTTGACCCGTCTGTATACTAGGTTAGTCCATCCTGAAGGAATGTTATACCACATTCCTCGATCCATTTTGTTCAGCTCGAATGGTTTGTAGTGATAAGGAGGGGTCATTTGGTCCTATCTCATTTGGAGTAGAGGTCCCCCGATAGAATTTCCCATCTTTGAGTCTCCTGTTTCTATCCTATTTCCCAGAGACAAGACACTTTGTTGTCGATAGAGTCCCATTCTTACCTCCGCCTGGATCACTATGTGAAGAGACGGAAGGTCCAGAAGCGCCTCCATTGATGCAGTGGGCGTTGATTTCATCGCTCCTGTTATGCTCAGACAAGCAACTCTTTGCACCTTGCTGAGGCTGAGCATTGTTGTTTGTTGCATTACCTTCGGCCACAGTGAGAGTTGTCGTCAGTCACTATGTAATTAATAATTCAAAAGTAAGTGTCGTTCTTGTCATCAGTTTTGGAAGCTTTCTCGAAATCATAAACGCATTGCATTTAAAAATCATAAAAAAAATATGTTTTTTCTTTTATTCTAAAATAAATGTTATTGTTTGCCCCAATAATGGGGTATGTATCACACGATAAATCGAATGAATTTCCCTAAGAATATTAAAATATGTTTTAGCCCACATATTCTTGAATGGAATTCAGATAAACTACGTACAAGTTCCTGCGGCGGTTCGAAATAATTCAAATCGTTCGGCCATCTTGGATTGTAACTATTCAATTCGACCGGATGACACGGAATTAATTGTAAAATGGTTCTTGAACGAAGAGTTGATTTACCAATGGATACCACCACAAAGCCCACAGAGCTTGGGAACGTTAAAGGTGAGAAGAAAATATCAAACAAAACACAAGAGTAGTGAAGTCTTATACCGGGTGCGTCTCAAAAGTGGCTCACTCATATAACTTTTTTTCAGATAAAAAAAAAACGATATTTGCTATGCTAGTATAAAAATAGTATATGACATAAATTAGGATTGATTGACGTATTCAATTGTTTTTGGTCACTTCCTGTTTCACCGGAAACGACCCCAACTGTTGATTTTTAAACGGCACCCTCAGTATATTTTTACTTTATTCGATAGAAAATGACACTTTTTTAGGTATATGTGAATAGAATAGGGTTGCTAACATTCAAAATCAAAAATAGAGGACGAGAGTGTAAAAAACGGGACAGGCGAAAACTTTTATGAACCGCGCTCAAATATCAAGAATTTACCCAAAAGTTATGTAAACGTTATACGGATTATGGTCTTTTTTATTTTTAATTTTTTTATTGTCTTAACGCATCCACCAATATTTCTTGTACAGGGTGGGTCAAATTCAACGCTTTTAAATGGAAACACCCTTTTCTATAGGAGATAGACGAAAACTAATATCGGTGTCTGGAGCTCAATTTTCATCATAAACATGATGGTGAAAACCGCACAGCAATATCTGTTACTGTTTCGGAGTTACGGGGTGTTTTTCAAAAATGTGCATTTTTAACAAATCGCTGTAACTTTTTTGCTATGGAAAATTTTGTATTTCTATGAAAACATTTTCAAAGCACCTTTTTACGTAGAATTTAATGGTTGAAGTATAATTTTTTTAAAATTAATAATTTAAGAGGTATCAACAAAAAAATTGGTATTTTATTTGGGACACCCTATATATTTTTAATTAACTGAAAAGAATTTAAAATTACCTTTCCAAAAATATAGCACACTTGATATTTTGTTATAATCCCCCTTCGAAATACAGAATTTTTAAAAGTTCGCCACTTTTAACTAGTAGGCTTTGGACCCCTTATTGATGATATGCCCTTAATGGAACTCGAAAACATATTTTTCAGCAAGACGACGCAAGGCCTCTGAACGCTGAAGTTATCAGCAAATTTTTGCAGCCAATTTCAAGAATAATTGAATAGCTAACAAAGATCCCAGCCGTTGGCCGTCGAGGCCGCCTGACTTAGTGCCCATGGAAATCCAAGCGATTATTAGATAATAATCTAATCCTATGGATATATTTGCGGAAGAATAAAGGTTCCTTATTCTTCCGTAAAATCTAGACAAAAATTAGAAATACTTAGCAGTTATGAGAGGGCATCTTTCACCCCTACTGAGTTAACGAATTCCGCAAGAAATGTTCAAAAACTGCCCCGTCTGTCCAAAACAGAAGACGGTTGATTTGTCACATTGTAGCAAAATCTCATGTCAACACCTGTAGCAAAATCTCATGTCTTGGTTTGCTATTTATTTTTATTGTTATTAGATATAGTTTAAATGTGTTGATGTTGGTTAAATATATTTTAAATTTTTATAAAATTCTGCATCTCTCATAACAAATATTATTTTCGTTTTAATTGATGCTCACAGCTAGAACTTTTTTGCATTACAGCCGGTGCCGTTCAAAGCCTACTTATTTAAAGCGGGCGAATTTTTATATATCTACTCTATATCTCGAAGAGGAATCGAGCAAAATATTAAGTGTGTTATATTTTTGAAAAGGTAATTTTAAATTCTTTTCAATAAATTAAAAATATACAGGGTGTCCCATATAAAAAATCAAATTTTCTGTTAATAATTCTTAAATTATTAATTTTAAAAAAAATATACTTAAACCATTAAATTCTACGTAAAAAGGTACTTTAGAAATGTTTTCATAAAAATACAAAATTTTCCATAGCAAAAAAGTTACAGCGATTTGTTAAAAATGCATATTTTTGAAAAACACCCCCTAACTCCGAAACGGTAACAGATATCGATATGCGGTTTTCACCATCATGTTTTTGACAAAAATTGAGCTCCAGACACCGATATTAGTTTTTGTCTATCTCCTATAGAAAAGGGTGTTTCCATTTAAAAGCGTCAAATTTGACCCACCCTGTACGTAAATATTTATTTTCTATACGAACGAATGGAGCTAACCAAAGACATACTATTGCATACAGTTCATACAGTTTAACCGTAAGTATTGTTGCGATAGACGATAATTTTTTAGATTTTGAGTTTGGTGTGTAAAAAAGAGGATTTTTTTCGATACGTGAAGAAAAGAGGACAGTACGATCAAAAAGAGGACTGCCCTCTGAAATAGAGGACGGTTGGCAACCCTAGAATAGAATGCCATATCATATGTCCACTTTTGACACTCTCGCTTAAGAAAAATCGTATTTTTTTTTTGTTAAAATAACATAAGGTATATCACACAGCCACACTAGATTTTTTCAAATAATAAATATCTACTGACACAAAATCGTAAAAATTAAAATATCTAGGAAAATCTTTGTCTGAGGGGTAGACAACCTTAATAATATTTTGGAGATATATAAATTCCCCATTGATCGCCGGAAAAATATACCGGATATTCTTAATAATATTTTGAAGATATATAAATTCCCATTCATCACCGGAAAAATATTCCGGGTATTTAAAATAAAGGAGTAACTTGCTTTTAAAAGTGACTAATGTTCCAAATTAATTTTGTCTCACCCTGTATAACTTTTCGGGTCAAATTTGTATTTGGTTTAACATACAATGGTTACTGTAATTAAATATGAGGTTATACAAGGTCAACTAAACTTTAGGTAGCTGTTATCGAAATTTAAATTTACTCTTCATTTTCAAATAAGGTGAAATATTACAAAATCCTTAGATTTTAGGTATATGCTTCTTTAATAAAACTCACCTTTATTTTTTTCCTAGAATCCGAAAATCAATTAATATACAGAGTGTTCCATTAGAAAAAACACAACTTTGATGTGTAACTTTTTTTTGGGGACACCCTGTATAATTCTATATATTTTTATAAAATGTTTTCAGTTAACCTACATATGCTGCGAAAATTCCATTTCGATATAAACTACCGAGGTAAACCGCAGAGGGAAAAGTGTACACCGTAATTCCTTTTACTCAAATAATTCCTCAGAATTCCTCGTAATTCCTTCGGAATTCCTTGGAATTCCTGGTCTTCAAGGTCAAGGTTAATCATTCAAAGTCTTCCTTGGAATTCCTTGGTACGAACTCACTAACTCTTTCAGTCTGAACCAGCGTTGCCACCTCGGTTTCGCAGTTCCGCTATGAATTTTCTGGTGATTTTTATAAATGTCTAATGTCTCTATAAGTACTAGCAAAGAATATCTTAATACCCTAGAAGTCTCGTCTGGCCTCAAAATCTGACCTGTCGATGGGGCCTCGCTTTGGCGAGCGAGGCCCCAACTTCGTGGAGCCTCGCTATTTTGCTCGGAATTGAACGAATAGACGCGCGGCGTTGCCTTGTTTTGTGTGTACTTTCTTGAATAGTTTTAAATTGTAGTTTTAAATTTTATCTATTGCTATAATCAGTCTTTCCGTTCTCCGCACTCCGCCAGTTTACATATAATATTATCTTATAATATAATTCCCGTGTTACAGTTTTGGTTACCGTACTCCTCCGAAACGGCTTAACCGATTTTGATGAAATTTTATATGTATATTCAGTAGGTCTGAGAATAGGTAGTTATATATTTTTTATACCCTTAAATGATAAGGGTAGTCCACCCCCATTTTTTTATTTTGTGAAAAAACAATATTTTAATTTTTTTTTATTTGGCATTAAAAAATACAAACAACACTAAATTTTCACCGTTCTACTTTCATCCCCTATTTTTTAATAGGGGTTGTTTTTTTAATTTTTTGTTACCATCTCCGAAACGGCTTAACCGATTTTGATAAAATTTTATATGTATATTCAGTACGTCTAAGAATAAGTTGTTATCTATTTTTATACCCTTAACTGATAAGGGTAGCCGAGAGGGTAACCCACCCTCATTTTTTTTTAGTTTTTGAAAAGAAAAAAATGTTTTTTATTTTTTTATTTGGCATTAAGAAATACAAACAACCCTAAATTTTCACCGTTCTGCTATCATCCCCTATTTTTAATAGGGGTTGTTTTTTATTTTTTTTTGTTGCCATCTCCGAAACGGCTTAGCCGATTTTGATGAAATTTTATAAGTATATTGAGTAGGTCTGAAAACAGGTTGTTATATATTTTTTATACCCTTAAGTGATAAGGGTAGCCCACCCCCATTTTTTTTATTTAAAAAAAAATATTTTTATTTTTTTTATTTGGCATTAAAAAATACAAACAACCCTAAGTTTTCACCGTTCTACCATCATCCCCTATTTTTTAATAGGGGATGTTTTTTTTTTAATTTTTTGTTACCATCTCCGAAACGGCTTGATCGATTTTGATGAAATTTTATATGTATATTCAGTAGGTCTGAGAATACGTTGTTATCTGTTTTTATACCCTTAAGTGATAAGGGTAGCCCACCCCATTTTTTTTATTTTTGAAAAAAAAAAATATTTTTAATTTTTTATTTGTCATTAAAAATACAAACAACCCTAAATTTTCACCGTTCTACCATCATCCCTATTTTTTTAACAGGGGTTGTTTTTTAAGATTTTTTTGTTACCATCTCCGAAAACGGCTTAACCGATTTTGATAAAATTTTATTTGTATATTCAGTACGTCTAAGAATAGGTTGTTATCTATTCTTATACCCTTAAGTGATAAGGGTAGCCGAGAGGGTAGCCCACCCTCATTTTTTTATTTTTGGAAAAAAAAAATTTTTTTTTTATTTGGCCTTAAAAATACAAACAACTCTAAATTTTCACCGTTCTACCATCATCCCCTATTTTCTAATAGGGGTTGTTTGTTTGATACCATCTCCGAAACGGCTTGGCCGATTTTGATGACATTTTATTATGTATATTGAGTAGGTCTGAAAATAGTTTGTTGTCTATTTTTTATACCCTTAAGTGGTAAGGGTAGCCCACCCCCATTTTTTTATTTTTTGAAAAAAAATATTTTAATTTTTTTTATTTGGCATTAAAAAATACAAACAACCCTAAATTTTCACCGTTCTACCATCATCCCCTATTTTTCAACAGGGGTTGTTTTTTAAGATTTTTTGTTACCATCTCCGAAACGGCTTAACCGATTTTGATAAAATTTTATATGTATATTCAGTACGTCTAAGAATAGGTTGTTATCTATTCTTATACCCTTAAGTGATAAGGGTAGCCGAGAGGGTAGCCCACCCTCATTTTTTTATTTTTGGAAAAAAAAATTTTTTTTATTTGGCCTTAAAAATACAAACAACTCTAAATTTTCACCGTTCTACCATCATCCCCTATTTTCTAATAGGGGTTGTCTTTTTGATACCATCTCCGAAACGGCTTGGCCGATTTTGATGACATTTTATTATGTATATTGAGTAGGTCTGAAAATAGTTAGTTGTCTGTTTTTTATACCCTTAAGTGGTAAGGGCAGCCCACCCCCATTTTTTATTTTTTGAAAAAAAATAATTTTATTTTTTATTTGGCATTAAAAAATACAAACAACCCTAAATTTTCACCGTTCTACCATCATCCCTATTTTTCAACAGGGGTTGTTTTTAAGATTTTTTGTTACCATCTCCGAAACGGCTTAACCGATTTTGATAAAATTTTATATGTATATTCAGTACGTCTAAGAATAGGTTGTTATCTATTCTTATACCCTTAAGTGATAAGGGTAGCCGAGAGGGTAGCCCACCCTCATTTTTTTATTTTTGGAAAAAAAAAATATTTTTTTATTTGGCCTTAAAAATACAAACAACTCTAAATTTTCACCGTTTTACCACCATCCCCTATTTTCTAATAGGGGTTGTTTTTTTGATACCATCTCCGAAACGGCTTGGCCAATTTTGATGAAATTTTATAAGTATATTGAGTAGGTCTGAAAATAGGTTGTCATATATTTTTTATACCCTTAAGTGATAAGGGGTAGCCCACCCTCATTTTTATTTTTTGGAAAAAAAAATTTTTTTTTGGCCTTAAAAAATACAAACAACTCTAAATTTTCACCGTTCTACCATCATCCCCTATTTTCTAATAGGGGTTGTTTTTTTGATACCATCTCCGAAACAGCTTGGCCGATTTTGATGACATTTTATTATGTATATTGTGTAGGTCTGAAAATAGTTTGTTATCTATTTTTTATACCCTTAAGTGGTAAGGGCAGCCCACCCCCATTTTTTAATTTTTTGAAAAAAAAATAATTTTATTTTTTTTTATTTGGCATTAAAAAATACAAACAACCCTAAATTTTCACCGTTCTACCATCATCCCCTATTTTTTAATAGGGGTTGTTTTTTTTAAGTTTTTTGTTACCATCTCCGATTGACCGATTTTGATAAAATTTTATATGTATGTATATTCAGTACGTCTAAGAATAGGTTGTTATCTATTCTTATACCCTTAAGTGATAAGGGTAGCCGAGAGGGTAGCCTACCCTCATTTTTTTTTAGTTTTGAAAAACAAATATTTTTTTTATTTGGCCTTAAAAAAATACAAACAACTCTAAATTTTCACCGTTCTACCATCATCCCCTATTTTTTAATAGGGGTTGTTTTTTTTAAAGTTTCTTGTTACCATTTCCGAAACGGTTTTGCCGATTTTGATGAAATTTTATTATGTATATTGAGTAGGTCTGAAAATAGTTTGTTATCTATTTTTATACCCTTAAGTGATAAGGGTAGCCCATTCCCATTTTTTTATATTTCGAGAAAATATTTATTTTTTATTTTTTATTTTGCATTAAAAAATACAAAGAACCCAAAATTTTTCACCGTTCTACCATCATCCCCTATTTTTTTAATAGGGGTTTGTTTTTTAATTTTTGTTACCATCCGTGAAACGGCTTTGACCGATTTTGATAAAATTTTATATGTATATTCAGTACGTCTAAGAATAGGTTGTTATCTATTTTTTATACCCTTATGTGGTAAGGGTAGCCCACCCTCATTTTTTATTTTTTGAAAAGAAAAAATGTTTTTATTTTTTTAGTTTGCATTAATAAATACAAATAACCCTAAATTTTCACCGTTCCACCATCATCCCCTATATTTTAATAGGGGTTGTTTTTTTTAAATTTTTTGTTACCATCTCCGAAACGGCTAGACCGATTTTGATAAAATTTTATATGTATATTCAGTAGGTCTGGTTTGGTTTGGTTTGGTCACAACCTATTCCTAGGTTGTTATCTATTTTTTATATCCCTAAGTGATAAGAGTGGCCCACCCCAACTTTTTTTTTATTTTTTAGACAAATTTTGTATTTTAATTGTTTTATAGGGAGTGCTTATTTTTTAGGGGGTACATGTCCAAAATTTTCTTCTGGGTACACACTTTCATCACTTAAGGGACCTCTGTACAAAATTGCATACTCCTAGTCCTAGAACGGATTTTACATAAAAATTATACAAATTTTTACCCTTAGTTTTACCCCCTTAAGGAATGAATTCCAAAAATCGCTCTAATTATTCAATTACGCTACATAATAAACCTCTGTGCAAATCATCATATACATCATAATCATATTCCTTGAACAGAATTTATTGTTCCAGAACGTTCAACCCTTCATTTCACACCCTTAGAGGGCGAATTTGCAAAAATTGCTTCTTAGTGCTAAATTACGTTACATAAGGAACGTCTGCAAAATTCATACTTCTACAACCGATTTTAACAAATTTTTGTACAAATTTTCATCCCTTATTTTTTAGGGGATGCATGCCTAAAATTCGCTTCTAGGTACTCACTTTCATCATTTAAGGGACCTCTGAACAGAATTTCATACTCCTAGTCCTAGAACGGATTTTTACATAAAAATTGTACAAATTTTCACCCCAAGTTTTACCCCCTTAAGGAATGAATTCCAAAAATCACTCAATTATTCAATTACGCTACATAAGGAACCTCTGTGCAAATTCCCATATTCCTTGAACAGAATTTATTTTTCCAGAACGTTCAACCCCTCATTTCACACCCTTAGAGGGCGAATTTCCAAAAATTGCTTCTTAGTGCTAAATTACGTTACATAAGGAACGTCTGCAAAATTCATACTTCTAAAACCGATTTTAACAAATTTTTGTACAAATTTTCATCCCTTATTTTTTAGGGGATGTATGCCTAAAATTCGCTTCTAGGTACTCACTTTCATCATTTAAGGGACCTCTGAACAGAATTTCATACTCCTTGTCCTAGAACGGATTTTACATATAAAATTATACAAATTTTCACCCCTAGTTTTACCCCCTTAAGGAATGAATTCCAAAAATCACTCTAATTATTCAATTACGCTACATAAGGAACCTCTGTGCAAATTCCCATATTCCTTGAACAGAATTTATTTTTCCAGAACGTTCAACCCCTCATTTCACACCCTTAGAGGGCGAATTTCCAAAAATTGCTTCTTAGTGCTAAATTACGTTACATAAGGAACGTCTGCAAAATTCATACTTCTAAAACCGATTTTAACAAATTTTTGTACAAATTTTCATCCCTTATTTTTTAGGGGATGTATGCCTAAAATTCGCTTCTAGGTACTCACTTTCATCATTTAAGGGACCTCTGAACAGAATTTCATACTCCTAGTCCTAGAACGGATTTTACATAAAAAAATTATACAAATATTTTCACCCCTAGTTTGACCCCCTTAAGGAATGAATTCCAAAAATCCAAAAAAATTATTCCGAGGAAATGAAAAAAATAACTTTACACTTTCTGAGTACTGAATAAAAAAATCTTATGAGGGTTTCTTTAAAATGGCGAAATCAGGGAACGTTATAAGTGGATCTCTCGGGGGTGGTTCGGCCGTACTATTGGAAAATATTTTAGATATATAATCGAGAGTACAATATTAAATTAAAAGAATATCTAACCTGTAGATATTTGATATTGGGAAATTTTGGAAGCGAAAACGAAAAACGGATAGTAAAAAGTCGCCTGCAAAACGTTTTTCTTTAAATTTAGTACTACCTATTATAGTATTCATGGTTTACTAATGTTCGTTAATTTTTTATGAAGTTGCTTGTAATTCCTCTTAATTCCTGTGGAATTCCTCTAAATTTCTAAGGAATTCTTACGGAAATAATTGGAATTCCTCGTAATTCCTTGGAATTCCTGTAGAATTCCTTCATAGTGTACACCATAATTCCTCTGCGGTTTACCCCTCGTAAACTACCGTTCTCCTTGGAGCTTCTGCGGCGTATGAGAGGCGCCACCCTGTATAATATAATTAATAAAAAATAAAAATAATTATAAATGTAAAATCTGACAAATATTTCCTTTAGGATAATATTGACTTGGATTACAAAGCGAGCGATGATCCCAAAACTGTCTACAGGGCGATCAAAATAAATAATCCCACCACCCAAATAGCAGGAGAATATAAATGTCAAGTTTCAACGCTGGCCGATGAAGATTTTAGTATGAAAAATATGATTGTCTTTGGTAGATTTCACAAATCGATAAATTTTTAATTTATTGAATTGGTCTTCTTTCAGAACCGGAAGCTAAGCTTATTATTAGAAAACGAATGGATGACAAGTACGTTAATTTTACCTGTCTAGCAAGTGACGTTTATCCTTCACCAAAGTTATTTTTATATAAAGACATCAAGAACAATCTTTATAACAAGTAAGACATATTTTATTAATTGGACTAAAAAATATAATATATTATTTTTATATTTATAGAACGAAAATCAAAAAACATTACCAACTCGAATAAAAATCTGTATTGAAATGTTAGAAAATTGTTATATTATCTTATTTGTTTATTGCAAAATATTTGTAGGACATCGTTTTTCAGAATACGGTTATCCATAGTCGAATGGGATGTGAAGAAAAATCCAAACACAGGCAAATATACTGTGTTTATTGTTGGAGTAGATCATTTAGCCGAACTAGAACCTGGAACCTTAATCCATTGCGAACTGAAGATTCCTGGAACTGGATATGTCAAATTAAAGACATTGTTATATTACCCCGATTGTAAGTAACTATTCGATATTAAAATTTGAAATAGTTTAGTTTTAGATTAAATATAGTAAAGACACATCATATACAGGGTGAGTTTTCTACGATGTTCTCTATGGGTATCTCGAAAACTACTGGAGATAGAGAGTTGGTTAAATAGGAAAAGAATAGCAGTTTTGTGGGGCCATCAATATGCGGCTTTCAGATTTTTGAAAAAGTTTATGGCTTACTAGATATTTCGAAAAAAACAAATTTCGAAAAAAACAAATACAATCTCAATACCAAAATCGTAAAAACACTGAAAAACCTTTTAATAATACCCTTAATAAAACTAATAAACTGTTGTATTGAGGCTGGAACTTTTCCTTCGGCTCTAAAGGATGCAAGGGTAGCCCCAATATTTAAAAACAACGGTTCGCCAAATGATTTAACGAATTATCGCCCCATTTCTCTGCTACCCGTCTTTTCCAAGATCTTTGAATCTATAATAAAAGATCAAGTTGTAGATTTCTTTGAAAGACATAACCTATTTTTTCAGGGCCAATTTGGCTTCCGGAATAACAAATCGACTACACTCGCGATGAACAGTCTAACAGACCATATAACCCAGGCCATGGAGGAGGGCCATGACACCTATTCATCCTTCTATGACCTGACAAAGGCTTTTGATTGCGTATCGCATGACATCTTGCTTCAAAAACTGCATCACTACAATTTTAATCAGAAGAGCACTTTGCTGATTGGATCATATCTCTCGGAACGCTCTTAGTTTGTCTCTTACAACCACGATAAATCACAGAGACTGCAATTAAACCTCAGTGGTCGGTTCTGGAGCCCTTACTGTTCCTCATATATGTTAATGAAATGTCGAGATTTCAAGAATAATACTATTACGCTAATACTATTTGCCGATGATACGACCAACATTCATAAATACCATCCCTCTGAACCCTTGGAGGGAATAATTAGTGCCACTCAAACAAATTTAGAGAACTGGTTTCTGCCACATCGGTTGAGCCCGAATAGAGCTAAAACCCAGAATCTGAATTTTACACTTAGGCAGAGCACTATTGATGTGCCCTCTAATGCTCATGTGAAATTTTTGGGAGTTACACTTAACCCTAAACTTACCTGGGAAGAGCATGTAACACAGCTATGTGGTAAATTATCGCTAATAACGTATCTAATGATAACGTATCTAAGTGTTGTCGCGATATGTGTCTCTTTCAACTCTATTATCGGCCTATCACGGTTACTTTTCTTCGCTTATGTCATATGCTATTCTTAACTGGGGACACTGTGCCCATTCTAGTAAGGTTTTTAGACTTCAACGTAGGTGTATGCGTATTATTGCGGGAGTTGGGTATCGTGATTGCTGCCGTTGGTGTTTTGGGGAACTCAGGGTCTTGACCTTTCTCTCCTTATACATATTAAGATGCCTTGAATTTGTCAAGTCCAACCTATCACTTTTTTCCACTCATGGTGATATACATGACCTGAGTTGTTTGTTTTTTCGAAATATCTAGTAAGCTATGAACTTTTTCAAAAATCTGAAGGGCGCATATTTATGACCTCACAAAACTGCAATTCTTTCCCCATTTAAACAACTCTCTATCTCCAGTAGTTTCCGAGATACCCATAGAGAACATCGTAGAAAACTCACCTTGTATATCTGGATTAAAACGACCGCAAGATGTACACAGCAAAGCAGTGTTTGTTTATAGTGATACCGCTGATTAAAGAAATAAGAAGATGTGCAACCTTATGTGCAATTTTGTGGCACAAAACCTGTCCGAGATGTAGCTGGCGTTACCGTCAGCCTGTCCGAGAATTCTGAGATTTAGTTTAGCTCTGCGCCGTCAATACTGTACCGTAGTTCAGCTTTCAGTCGACAGAGTGTTGCCGGAGATAGTGTTGTCGGAACTACTAATTAATTCATAGATTTACGGATTTTGGATTCAGTACGTTAACAATACGGATTTCCTATCATTAAAAAATTTAATATAATAGTATAAGATTAGACAAAGAACGTCAGAGTTGGCTTTTAAAATATTATGATAAATGTTAATATTCCTCATTTCCAAGCCAACTAAACAACTTTTTTCGATCATACAACATATTTAGTACCTATAAAAGAATTTTTATTTTTGTTGTTTATTCTATGTTTAACACGAATAAATTTTCAATACATAAAGGCGGATTTTTCATCCAAAGATATTTTCGTCAAATGTATTACAGATATTACAGACTTTAATATGGCAACACTATCGCTTTCAGATCCACACCGTTTTCGATATGCCTTCGCTGGCCGTATTAGAGAAAAAAGTGTTATATGCGTTGACCGCAGAACGATTGGAGTCTCCACCGTATAGCACTTGAGACGTAAGGGAAAATCTAATCAGCCTTGTTACGAATTCGCCCATTAGGTTGCGTATCTTCCCAATTCTTTCAATCAACGGTGATACACTACTCTATTGGTTATAGCGCTTGTGCAAATATAGATCCTCCCCAAAAGCACAGTTTAAAAGTATTTATTCTTCTATAAGGAACAAACAGAATTGATTTTCAAAAAAAAATCTTTTTTTTTTCAAAAAGCTCAGCAATCCTTGAAATTTTTAAAACTTTTTTGATGGCATTTTGGTGAACATACCAAGGAGGCAACTTTGCCCCAATTTAACCATCTTCGTATCTTTTACGGTTTCTGAGATACCAATGCTCGTACCCCGAATTTGTAGCACCCTGTATATTTGATTCTAAAATCAGTTCACAAACTGTTCCAACGTATATGCGTACAAATCCGATACCTGCGATCCCAATTACCGTTGAGAAAGAAAAGAAAAACGAAGTTGTCATTATGACAAGAATTTAATCAAACATTATTGCAATTTTTAGTTGGTTTGGTTTATATATGCCTTTTCATAAACTTTTTTTTCTTTAGTTTACACTCTTGGAAATGGTGAGTAAAAATGGTAACTATTTACTAAACAAGTAAAGAAAGCAGAAGTTGGGTAAAATAAAAATATGTGTATAAAATAATATTTTTTGTGGTTTTCTTTATCAGAAAACATTTATATTTGCGAAATAACTCAAACTAATATATTAATTTGAAATATGCCAGATATTGCATTTATTTATAATGTCAAACTTAAACTTCTGTCTCAAATTGCTCTTTATTCCCCTACTAATTATCATGTTTTATTTTTGTATTGTTGTAGGTTGTCTCAAGCATTGGTTAAATAGAAACCTAATATTTTATGCATTTACGTTATACCTGTTAGGAAATTATTAGATAAATAAAAATATGTTTTTAATTTTAACCATCAATAAATTCACTTGATTTATTGTACTATTTATCAAAATTTATTAAGATTTATAATACAGTTGTTAATTAAAATTTAAAATATAAACATACTCTTTTAGCAGAATACGTTTAGAATATTTTTATTCCGGAAATTAATAAGCAAAAAAAAATAAAGATTTATAATAATACAGTGGTGTAAAAAAGAAAAAACTCTGTATTGAACTGATTTTTATTTTAAGCCACCCTTTATATCATACAAATCGCATACATATAAATTTTGGTTATTTAAATACAGGGTGAGTCTTAAATAAGTGCAAATATTTTCAGAGAGAGTAGATTTCGATAAAAGTAACATATTTTCTCTTTACTGTTTTTCAAGTAAGTCCAAAATAACCGATTATTTTACTTTAAAAATTTCCAAAAAAATATTTTTTGCTTAAATTTAGAGAACCACTGGACCTTTTCTGGGTTTTCTTTCTTGTAAATTTAATCGACTACCTATATTGTTGTATTATAAAGAAATTATGTTTTTTAACTAAAAACTAAAAAAAATCCAATTTTTTTCCAAAAATTCGAAATTTTCAATTTATTTTTTCGCGAAAAAACCCTTATAATCGTGTTTCTGGAGTCGAAATATACTACCCCTAAAAATATTTGCACTTATTAAAGACTCACCCTGTATATCGTAAATATCCAATAACAAAAATACTATTATCTTCATATTTTAGTCATCAAATAGTGTTCCTACTAGTTTCCAAATATGCCATTTAACAAACATCTAACGATACTAGCTATAGGTCGCTTCTAGCATCTGGTTGTATTCGATAGACTGACTATATTTAGAGTAGAGGGTAGAGATGGTGTAGATCCGGATGGATACGAATCCACGAACCTCACTCCGGTGCTGGTACTGATGAATGTAGATTCTAATTTCTAATAAATATCGACACCTATCCGCTGAACTGCATTGCTGACAGCGAACTGGCCACATCGCTCGGCAGATAACGAAAACCTAACGGATGCAGTGAAATAAATCAGTAATTACAGAAATTTGGTATTAGAGAGTATTGGTAAAAGGAAGGAATAGGAACTGCTGTTGAGTTTGTTGTATTTACTTTCTTTCGTCTTTTAAGTTTACTTTCGCGGAGCCGTATCCGTATTCGAATTTATTTTGTATTATTTGAAATTTTGGTCTAGTGTTGTTAATTCACGGAACTCGAGATTGACATTAACAAAAATTTTGGAATCGGGATGTTTTCTATTATGAAATCTTCTCCTATACTCTCTCTCTTGAAGTTTCTTTGGATTTTCCGTTGCAAATGCCGTAAATGAAATGAATATCGGCATACTCTAGGTTTGTGAAAAGATTTGGAATTTTAAAATAATAATTTAATAGAATAATTTAAGAAATATAACATTTAACAATAAATAACGAATCAAATTTCCAAACCAATAAAAACAAATAGTATTTTTACGTAAGAAGTATCTTGGTAAAAATTACAACAAATATACCGCCACATATACCGCCATTACTCGCTGACGAGTATTTGACACGCATCAGAAGATGGTCATGCAAGGCGTTTTCTTTCATGAGCTTTTCTGTGACTGAAAAGCCCGATACGTGATGTAATCTGTCTACCGCACTCCAGACATTCAAAAATCTCATTGCTTTGTTGCCTCTTTACTTTTTGGTTGTCGCTCTTAACTGACTTTACAATTCTTCTCCATTCCGTTCTATTGTGAACTGCCTCTTCCCACTCATTCTGCTTGTTAATTCCCTTTAAGTTTTCGTGGAAAATATCTTTGAACCTTTTGAGTTGTCCACCCGGCCTCCTCTTACCGTCTACAAGCTCACCGTAAAGCAGAGATTTTGGTATGCGGTTTTTTTGCATTCTGCATACGTGACCAGCCCATCTTAAGCGGGACTTTGTAATCATGATTTCAATACTCTCAACTACAACAAATAACTATTATAGAGACGTTCGGATTTAAAATAATCAATGCAAAACAATTTTCTGCTTTCTTGTCTTTTTTGACAAAAATTTTATGAAATTTATGATAACATGGTTTTGGTAGAACCTTCAGCATCCACTTCAGCTTCAATCGTTTTAATGGAAATACAATTTTTCAAAAATCACGAAATTTATTTAGAAAATTGACAGTTAGGTTTTAAAACAGGTTCTGTTGAACCTTTGGTATCAGAACGTTTCGAAATTTATTAATTTACTGAAATATCTATCTAGTGAACATGTTTAATTTTTGCCATTGATGGCATGTATTGATTATTAAGAATCCAGATATCTTGTGAACAGTTGCAAGAGACAATTTTTTACGTAAAAGAAGAATAAGGCGTAAATGCATATTTTTTCACTCAGTAGTGGCAAAAAACAGTAAAAATGTAGGTGGCGCCCCCTATACGTAGGACTTCATATCGAAATCAAATTCCTCATGTTAAAAAAACAGACACCAATTTTCATCCATTAGTTCAAAAATTAATTCCAAAAAATTGAAATAAATATACTTCTACACCCTGCATCTCCGAAACTAAGTATTTTAGGACATAAGTTTATACGAACTTTAGATAGCAGAATATATCCTGCCGAAGTTTCCGGAATACAGTTGTACGTTTGTATAATAGTGTACCAAACGTCAGATAAAAATAATAGAAAGTTCCTATGAGCATATTATGCCCTAAAATGCTTCCATAGGAAATTACAACCGTTGAAATCCTTACAGCCATCTGGTTTGTAACTACGCATTGTTAATTGTTTTATTACACACCATTCTAATTCCTACTAGTTAACTCTTAAATATTTCCTTACATTTCATCATTTCTTTAATACTAAAATAGGCCTATCTTAACCTTTAAATGCAAATATCTTGAAAACCATGATTTCGAACTAATTGAAGAGAACTTACGTAAAAAAAGTCAAGACTATAAAAAGGATTAATTGTTTGCATTGACATTAAAATGTGTGCAAAGATACCAAATTTCAAGGAAAAAGGTTTACCAATTTTTTAAAGATAAACAAAATAAATATTTTATCCACTTTTTAATAGGCTGTCACTCCTTAAAAAGCATCTTATGGTATTTATTATAATTAATTTAATCTAATACGATAAATACAGAAAATATATTATAATTGCAAATTAAATTTTATTTTAACCAAATGTGTCACTCTTTTGCGTTAAGAATGAAATAGAATTTAACGTTGCACCTAACGTATTCAACAGTGATCGTTCTAACAGCCTTATTTACTTTAATTGTGCATTACAATTGGTTTTCCTAACTGTACTCTAATGTTTAACTGTGTTCAAATTGCTTGGCAAGTTCGATTTTGGATGCCTACCTTCATTGCTTATGGAAAAAGTTGTGTTGTTTGATTTTATGGGTAAATCTTTATTTACCGCAACGAATAAAACTGACTAAGTCAAGATGTTTAGTGTTACATTATCAACGTATTACGGTATTAAAAGCAGAGATCCTATTTAAGAGGTGTCGTTTAAAATAGGCACATGTTTGCGCTACTGCCGAAGTTATATAGGTGAGTCTTAATAGAGTGCAAATATTTTTAGGGGTAATATATTTTATTAATATGATAATATGATCGGCCATCACGGTCTTTCTGTCGAGGAGCAAGGGGAAAGACACCACCTACCTGCTACCTTATCCAGGGTCAGAACTTCAATGTAAGGTCATCGAGTTTTTTTTTACGCTTTATTGTACAAAAAGCCAAAACAGCTTCATCGACAAAGCAAAACAAAAAAGCACAAAAACAAATATACAAATAAACAAATAAAAATGTCATACAATACAAATCAATTTAAAAAAAACGTCATAAAATTACAAGTAAAACATATATGGACATTGCAGAACACAGGCGTATCTAGAAAATTTTACAAAAGGAAAACTGTAAATGGATAAACTAATGTTATATATTATAAAATCAAGAGTTATAAAATATTAAATATTAAATACTAGACCTTTAACCAGTGTGTGAGATGATCAGAATTGTAAATCTCAAAATTGTTCATGATTAAACATCAACAAAAAAGTCGTTTACCGCATATAGGGCTCTCTCCAGTAAGTATGATTTCAGAGCTTTGCGAAATGCGGGAAAGAATGAAAGTGACTTGATATTCGAAGGCAAATGATTGTACATTTTCTTGGCATTGTACAGTATTGAGCCCTTAACTAGTTCTGAGCTCGGGGTTGGCAGATAAATATCGTGCTCCGCATTTCTAAGTGGATAGTTGTAAGAAGGCCTCTCCGGAATAGAGAATATGTGCTTGCGGATTAAGCAAACGGATTCAAAAATGAATAAGGAAGGAAGAGTCAGTATTTTGAAATTTTTAAAGAAATTCTGGCAGTGAGTTCTACTGTTTAGTCCCAATAAGTATCGAACTGCTCTCTTTGAAAATAAAAAAGTTTGAAAATACGATCAAATTTTGTCGCGCAGCAAGTACCCCAGAATGGAAGGGCATAACGAAGATGCGACTCAAAAAGGGCATAATAGACCATTCTAGAGGTTGATGAGTTAAGTTCCTTAGAAACTGATCTTAGCGCAAAACAGGCAGAGCTTAGTTTCTTTGATAAGGCTTCGATGTGCAAGTCCCATTTTAACGAGTTGTCTACAACAAGTCCTAAGAATCTCACAGAGTCCACACTCACAGAGTCCACGACGTCAATAGTGGTGTTATTAAGTACAAAAGGTTGTATAGTACTTTTATATGACAAAACTTTAGTTTTTGAAAGGTTGAGGCATAGGAGATTAGAATCGCACCAAGATTTAATGGTGCGTAAGTCACTGGATATAGTATTATATAGTGCCGTAACATCTGGGCCGCTCCAAGTGAAACATTGACATATAAAAAATCAGGCAGTTCGTATATTGATCAATTTGATCTAGCATTTGTGAAAAATAGGCAAATATTTGTGTAAAGGTACTAATTAAGTATTTAAAAACCAACATTTAAAATATTTATAATTTTCAAATATAGAATATCTAGACTTAATGGTGTGAAGTAAGTAACTGGATATAGTACTATATAGTGCCGTAACATCTTGGCCGCTCCAAGTGAAACTAGTG